ATTTCTTCGTCAGACTGTCGAAACATCACATTCCGCACAACGATAGAATGGATGATAGTGGAAAGAGTGGCGGGAGTAAACAGTTGAGCATAATGATTCGAGCGGATAGTCGCAGAGAGGAAGCGCAATGCTTGGGAGACAAGCTGGAGCGAGGGTGAGTGTCGAACACAGGCCAAGAGAAGACCCCACCCCATCGTCTGATATGTTCGGCATGCGATCATCACCAACCATATTCCAGACTGCCTGAATGTAGGACTCTATGGTTTGACTTTGCTGCAATTGCTCGGGGTACAATTGTAAGAAAAGCTACATCACAAATTAGAATTGTGCGAGGGTAACATGCGAATGATACCTCTGCTATCTGCAGGATCCCAGTCCTGACCTGAGAAGGCAAGGATGCGACCGTCTCGTCCGACTAGAACAGGGTTAATCCAAAGACCAGCAAGATGGAGCCCGCTTGAGACTGCTTACTCCAACAGCCAGAGAAGGCGGATTCCAAAGGAGAAGTTTTTGGAACCAGCCATCGGGTGGACTAAAGAATTCAGCTTGTGTGTCTTCGATGGCGGGAGGTAGATCCTGGCATGTAAAATCATAATAGATTTCTAGTAGCAAAACCATGATCTCGGCGTGCAATGACATTTCTGAATGGGTCTGGCCAAGTAGTAGCGACGCCGTGTGCCGGAAGAGTCCAAGGAAAGGGTCCACAAATCTCGACAGGACAAGGTTGATTTCCGTAAATAAAGCGTCAGAACGAACATGAGAGCGCCACTGCGAGAAGATGGAGTGAGATGTTTGAAGTATCGCAAGATTGGCCAACGAAGAAGACGTTGATAGCGATCGAGTCAATTGCTGTAACAATGCGAGGTCAATCGCGTCCGAAGACATTCTTCGACCAAAGATGACATTTGACGCACATCAATGAGATCTGGCCATTTCGAAGGGAAATCGAGCTGAGCAATGAGAGAAATGCTCTCAGCCATCTGAGCGCGAATTGATTTGTCTGCAGAATTGGTGGAGAGTGCTATCATAGCAGGAATGAGCTGTGTTCTCAATGCGCTCTTGTCGAGCTCCGCCAAAGAATTCTCCTCCTACCAGGCGGGTCAGTAGGGATCGGAAAGATCCTCTCGAGAATTACCTCTTCCCATCGCAGTTTTGCAATGTTCTTCAAGTAGACACTCCCAGCAAGCCTCACGGCTCGCTCTTTACTCGTGTCGAGAATCAAGCCGAGAAGGTGCCCAAGAAAACCCTGCTGAGAGCTCAACTCGGTGAGACTTTGCTCCGCAACCTTTCTAGTCGCCGGATTCAATGAGGCAAGTAAGAGAGATGCGAGATCGGACATGATGGAGCAGAACAAGAAACCACGACGCGCTTGAGCCTTTGTTGACCTCTCGTGGCTGTCACTGTGACTGGCTCGCGTTTGTTTTGGCAGCTCGTGCCCATCTGATCACACCTGATCACACAGCCACTACGACCCATCCTGCTAATAGCACTCCAGTATGATTCTCCTGGAATCGCACAATGTTATCATCCAGACGACTCTCAACGAGAAGCATGCCAAGTGACCTACCCATCTCTCATTACATCCACGCGATGTCTTATAAACTCATACAGACCATCTTCGGTTGACGTCCAGTTTGTAGACTTCGATGGCGTGCGCTTCCGTCTTTCGAGTCCGGACAAGGACAACAAGAACATGCTCCTTCTTTCCATGAGCATTCGCTGCTGGGACGAGCTCGTCGCATTTGGCGCATTAAGCGTGCTCAATCGCGAATATGGTTCGCTGCTCCAACCGCAGCCTGAGCCTGGATGGAATGTCAGCCTCTCCATCGACCTGCAGCAACTCCCAGCCAATACAGGTACCTATTTCCTTTGATCTCGTGCAGATAAAATCTCATATCTGATCTAGAGGACCGTGATGCGTTCATCATGTCCGTTGCTTTGCTCAAGCGCAATGCTCTTGCTGCTCCGTTCGAAGCCGCATTCACTTCGCAGAAGGGCCTTGAATCAGCTGGCTCAGGAACAGGCCCATTGATGGAGGTTCATTATCGCGACGAGGAGGCGATATACGTTCAAGCTTCGCACGACCGCGTGACGGTCATATTTTCTACCGTCTTCCGCGAAGAGACCGATCGGATCTACGGGAAAGTCTTTCTACAGGTACTTATCCTGCTTTGATACTCCCGGCTCCGAACCGAACACAGTACAGGAATTCGTCGACGCCAGAAGACAACCCTCCATTCAGAATGCCCCACAAGTCTTGTATTCCAGCCGCGACCCTCCGCTAGAAATCCGCCATTTGGCGGACTTGCGCAAGACCGATGATATGGGTTACGTCACCTTCGTACTCTTTCCCCGGCACTTCTCGAATCCGTCCGTCGCACTGGCCACGATCTCACACATCCAACTGTTCCGCGATTATCTCCACTATCACATCAAGTGCTCCAAAGCCTATATGCACTCGCGCATGAGACACCGTGTTGCTGAGTTCCAGAAAGTGCTGAATCGGGCCAAGACGGAAGTAGCGACTGTTGAAAAGAAGACCGTGTCGTAAGTCATGTATTAGTATTGTCGTTCTCAGTCGCTGACCACAGATTTAGCGGAAGGACTATGCTCAGCCGTTAGATGTATCTTAGTTCAGAGGTCAATTGTAATCAATGCAGCAGCGTGTGGAGATATGTTTGCTCAAATGTCCGATGATCCATGAGTCAAGAAACCGAATGCCATGAGATGCCATGGGACCAAGGGTGCTGTCACATGACGTCCTATGGCTTTCCGTGCCTCCCTCAAACGCGCCAATCGTGCAATCGTCTATACCCAGAATGGCGAGCCCGAACAGGTCCTTCGGGCAGTAACGTTCAAACCGCTCCCGTCTCCGCCACCAAACACGCTCAACATCAAGTACCTACTTTCACCTATTAACCCAGCAGACATCAACGTTGTTCAGGGCGTCTACCCGGCTAAACCCGCTTCCACTGTCTTGAATGACGAGGCGGCATTTGTCGGGGGCAATGAAGGCCTTGCCGAGGTTCTGCACTGTGGCTCTGGGGCTTCTGGATTCAGCGAGGGAGACTGGGTCGTGATGACTAAACCTCAGTCGGGAACCTGGCGATCGACTTCTAATGTCTCTGTCAGCGACGTCCTTAAGCTGCCTCGGGCAGTGGGTCTCACCGAAGCTCATGGAGCGACCATGACGGTCCGTTGATTGGGGTCCATATATCACAACTTGAGCATTGCCAGGTCAATCCACCTACAGCCTGGAACATGCTGGCGGATTTCGTGAAACTCCAGGAAGGAGATTGGGTTCTGCAGGCGCGTCTTTAACTGCTTGTCTCTCATCCTGTCGCATTCAAGTCTGCGTGCGTAGAATGGGGCGAACAGTGCTGTGGGTCAAGCAGTCATCCAAATCGCCGCTGCTCGTGGGTTAAAGACCCTGAATCTCGTCAGGAACCGGTCCGTGGCGTCTTTTTTTTTCTCTAGTCCAAGATATTCACGCGTCCGCGCAAGCCCCAATCTGGAATCTCTGGCACAAAGTTTGAAACAACTGGGAGCAACTGAGGTCTTGTCCTACGACGACCTTGCAGACCGACAATTGACAGAAAGAGTAATGAAAAACTGGACAGGCGGTAGGGTACGACCACCTCATCTTTGTTCCCGGCTGGTTTGTGACGGGTATCCAGGGATTCAAATTGGGTCTCAACTGCGTTGGGGGAAAGGACACAACCGCCATGACCCGATTGCTAGGGCACGACGCGTTCCTTGTCTCATACGGCGCGATGTCCAAACAGCCTCTGGCACTGCCTACTTCGGCCTTCATTTTCAAAAATCTCACTTGCACCGGCTTTTGGCAAAGTCGTTGGTACAAGAACCACACCAAGGAAGAGACAGAAATGGTGATGACTTCCTTGGTCGATCTAGTCAGCTCAGGCAAGGTACGCCCGTGAATGATCTATGACTGCATCAGCAAACCAGGCGCATTCCAGCTTAATGCGCCCGAACACGAAATCCTGGTCGTGAGTGCACAGGATACGGATGAGGTCGCCGGTCAGAAAGTTCGAGACGCGATGGCCAAGTTATCCTCCGGCCAATATGGGAAGAAAGTGTTGCTCAAGATCGAAGGAGCAGAATGAACACAGATGGGATTAATGACATGTGCAATACGCTACCGCATCTTTCTATCCTCAAAGAACCTCTGGGCAGTGTGAATGATCCCAAAAACGTGAAGGAGATATAATACTGAACGAACCTTGAGATGTCTGAGCTGCCATGCGCAAGTTCCAACAAGAACAATAATTTGAGCAATGCTATACCATACGGCTCTCGCATTCGTCAGTTCGCTCAAGTCCCGATAGTCCGCTTCCCGCTCTCGCTGATACTGCTGCTCTCGGTTGATATCCTCCAGCTTCATGTTAAGGTCTCGGACTTTTGCTGCAAGTTCAGAGACATGGGAACGGTCATGGTCTCCGTCCGCCTTGGAGGAACCAACGACAACATCGAGATAAAGTCGAATGTGAGTGCTGGAGAACCAAGAAGTATAATTCGTAGAGAAGCAGATGGTGTGGTCGCCGGCATCATGGGAAGTGAAAGTAAAGCGCCCGTCGCTCGGACCCTTAGTCTTGACGACACTGTGACCGCTTTCTGCTTCCTGTCTGCACGTCAAAATGGAGTAGGTGTTGCAAGCCGTGAACTTACATCGACGTCCACCAGAATGCCCAGGTTGGGATCTTCGACGTAGGCCTGGTCTGTCTCTGACCATTCCAAAGCACGGTAGTGGCCTTGCCAAGGTATGTAAACGCGTTCGATCACGGACATGAATTCATATACCTTCTACTACAGTGTCCGTGGGCAGCTCCTCGATGAAACAACGCTTCTCGTTGGCGTCCAAGTAGAAGTGTAGAGCATTGGACGCTGCGATGCTCAGCAGCAGAGTCCAGAGAAATAAAAGTCGTCGCATCGCGAAGTGGAAGAGAAGCTGAACGTGGCGGGACTTGTTTGCGCAGGTTTCGCGATAGGGTGTGTATAGTAGACCACCACACTGGTAGAATACTTGGAAACCTGAGAGGACACTTTGTAACAACTTGAATAATGCGGGACTGTATTTCATCTCATTTGAATAGCACAAGCAACTACGAAGAAAAGCAGGTGGCGCAATTGACGTTCAGGTCGCTGCGCAAAGAACATGCATGAATAAGTCTATGGAGAGAGAGAAACAACGGAAGCCCACATTTTTCCCATTCAGACCGGCGAATAGAAATGCTGAGACATAACGATGAGTGAGGATTCAAAAATGAACATCAGAGCACGATTCACATAACTGTTGAGCATCTCTAGGACTTGGAATCTTTCGAGAGCAGCTTCGCGTTCACTGCAACAAAGTGGTAGCCCACCACAGTGATCATGGCAAGAACGCCGAGACTGTTCGCAAGGGAATATAATGTCGTATGGGAAATCATTCTCGCTTCTCCTTGAAAGATCTCAGCGGTCTGGCTCTCAGAGCTCGAAAGCCACGTACGGGGGAAAGTAGATGATGTTGTGGCGGTGTTGAGATCAATCCCTCTTACCACGAGACTTTCGTATGGCGAAGGCCAAAGCCAGGTTCGTACACCAGACTCACTCTCTATAATTACTGACTTTTTTCTTTCCGTAGAACTGTCATTGTGAGGTTGATATCCACCGCCCAGACGGGGTTTTTCTACACTCGTACGCGTGTTCGCACTGGCCCTAAACTTTCCGCTGTGAAGTACGACCCGACTGGTATGTAAAATGCGTCGGATCTTTTTGAGACAGCGACTTGACCGCTCTTTAGTACAACGACGCGTCCTTTTCGTCGAAAGTCGGAAGTCTGGGAAGAAGAACCAGTAGTCGTCTGAAAAAGTAGTATGCCTCACTAGCCTTCGTGTAGTTGTCCCCGCCTGTCAGCCGTTCTCTTCTCATCCACATTTTGACACATCATTCATGTCGAGTGGTTCGGGAGGACTTCCAAGACTTGAAGTTTGAACGCTTCCAGTTGAGACAGATTCAAACAGATGCAGGCTCCACCGAGTCCGCGGGGCTAGCTAACCATCCCGGATCCGCGCCTAAATGAGTTGTGACACCTCGTGACCACTTACGCGTCCTCATCTTGACCATGTCGCGAACTTCATACGACAGGCATGAAATCCGCGTTTTTCACTGCTCAATCTCTAACGATAATGTAGATACCTAACCGTATTCTCACCCGAAGGACGCCTTTATCAAGTCGGTCAGTGGTTACAGCTCTCTGCAGCCCTGGCTTGAATCTCTTCCCAAGAATATGCGTTCAAGGCTATCACTGGCTCAGGACACACGGCCATCGCTGTTCGTGGAAAGGATACGTCCGTGGTTATCACACAGCGCAAAGTCCCAGTGCGTCATCCTCGTTGCACTTCGACAATCTCATTCATAGATTAAGGATAAATTGTTGGACGCGTCGACTGTGACCCACCTGTTCAGCATCACCCCCACGATCGGTTGTGTAATGACGGGTCTGATTGGTTTGCGCTTTCCATGAAATTCATACGCGTAGGTGGTGCTGAAGTTCCTCCAGCGGATGCGCGCGCTCAAGTCACTCGTGCGCGATCGGAAGCGGCCGAGTTCAGGTACAAGTACGGTTACGAGATAACACCAGATACGCTGGCGCGTAGGTTGGCGAACATCAACCAGGTGTACACGCAACGAGCGGCGATGCGGCCCTTGGGGATCTGTATGATCCCATTTTCTCTCACTGTCCACTGTTGACACTTTCAATAGCGATGATTCTCATTGGCATTGACCCTGAGTTCGGACCCCAGTGCTTCAAGCTCGATCCAGCTGGCTTCTTTGTAGGATTCCATGCCACAGCGGGCGGACAAAAGCAACAAGAGGCCATGAACCATCTCGAGAAGAAGTGGAAAAAGCTCGATTCCGGGAGGGGTGCTGATGAACCAATGCAAGCAGGAAAGAATCTGAGCAGAAGTGCGGTTATTGAGGTGCTTGAGTTCTTCCAGCAATCTTTTCCGGGCTAACGCGTCAGAAGATGGCTATTGAAGCTATGTCCACCGTTCATGCGACCGACTACAAGCCCGCAGAGATTGAAATTGGGATCATCTCGAATGCTGATGAAGAGAATCCGAAGACGCGTGGTATTTGGCGGGTGATGGGCGAGGCAGAGATCGAACAGCACTTGTTAGCGTACGCAGAGAAGGACTAATTTCGAATGGTGACTCGGTCAATGCGACTCTTTGTTCTAATGTCTAAGATATAGCGTCTACCGCAGAGATGCTCCCCCGCTCTAGGGAGAGCGATGGGTGAGCATGAATGAGATGGATGGTATAGATTGAGACGTACGAGAATAGCTTCAATCTCATTCTCCTCCAAAGAATGCACTCGAGGATTCCAGACATGCTCGGGTGCTTGCCAAAACTCGGTGAAAACGTGACTGCTGTTTCCCTTCGTTATGGTTGAAGATGGTCGGGCTGCACCGGTGAAGACCTTCTGGAATTCAGGCGGCGCGGCAGGGTGTGCATGAGGTGTGGTTGGAGCTAGAGGCGGGATGAGGTTCATCTGAGATGTGGCAGGCATGACACACTGGATGGCCATGTCCGTCTGCCTGCGAACTTGATCAGAGGCTGGTGAGCCCGCGCTCCCAAGGCGCGTAGAGAAGGATGCATGGGTCCAATAAGGTGCTGGGTATCGGTCAAGGCGGAGGTGTGACTCCTGTGACATCATCGTTACAAATTTGAGTTTACTTCTACTGGAATATTAAACTAGACAGCCTCGCGCCTTCTAGGTGCAGCCCTCAAGATGTCGTCGACACTGGGCAATACATGAGAACGAGAACGGGCGGGTAGACGGAGATAGACTGACCGGATAATCATCTCAGCTGCTTCAGTCGCACTGAGTACAACCTGACGCTTGAGCTTATAGCTCTCCGTCACTCCCAGCTGTTTCATTGAGCCGATGGTCCCGAGTTCCATGTCTGCCCAATCATGAATGCATGAAACGCAAAGAATCAGGTTAACCAACCCAGTCCGGCATCAGACTGGCCCTCGTAGTGGGCTGCTCTGAGACGGGAGACCAGATCCGAAGAATCGTAACCAGCGTTGTCGGCCAAAATCGTAGGGATTTGTCGCAGTGCCCGGCCAAAAGCTTCGCAGGCAATGGCCTTCTTTCCTTTGACTTTCCGAGCTTCTTCCTCGACGGCACAGCTCATGAGCATCTCTGAGCAACCACCACCCAATACAGTCCGGGTCTCCTTCACCGTCTGTGATAGTACAGACAGCGCATCGTGCAAGGATCGCTCAGCCTCATCAATCATCTGATTTGTGGAACCTCGCAGTACGACGGTGCATGCCTCTCCGGCGGCGACACCCGAGAATTTGATCAGCTATAGACACATGAGAAAGAGAAAGCAGAGCGGAAACTGACTAGCCTTGTCCTCTCCGATCATGATCTCTTCGATCAATTCACAGTGTCCGAGCTTGACTAGATCAGGACGGTCAAAGGTGCTGGCGATCTCTCCGCCAGTCACCAATGCCAGGCGCTCGACCCCTTCGAAGTCGGCGTGCTCAATAGTCAGAATACCCTTTTCGGTCAACAAGGATTCGGGATAATTGTAGATCAATTGTCGGTTCACGAAACAATTGATCCCATGGGCAGCAATGGCATCTACTTTGACCTTCATTTTCTCCTGCAAGTCCTGTCAGAGAACGCAGGGGGTCCGTTCGGGAAGAGGAACATGCTCTTTCGGCGCGCTCCAGCTCAGCTAACTTCCCTGTGCCGTCAACCTTAACGCGGGCACCGAATATTTTGATCTTGTCCGTGTCCATAGCTAGACCAGAGTGTGAATCCAACTTGCTTGAAATCTAAGACAGCTCACAGGTATTGGCGATAAGGATGTTGACATTTTCCATTCGTTTGGGCGAGTTCACGGCGATAGTTTTATCCAGGATAAAACCTGCATGTGATTACATTCAAACTCAGTTATTGTGATACTAAGGTCATAGAGAACGTACCTTCTGCCAAATATGAGTCGGACAGCTTTCCGCCGACTTTCTTGATGATTTGAATGTGTTCCAAGTCTGTGGATCCCTTTGCAGAAATTAATATAAGAGTAGCAGGAGGAACGGCGATATACCTTCAAACGGAGGACTGCATCGACAGCCAGGTTGGCGAAATAATCCTTGTCCTGGGACAATACTTTTGATGACAGTGTTGTCCTCGCGATGTTGAACAGATCCTCTCGGAAAACTTTGGGGTCCGAACTAAAGAGTATCAGGATCCCATACCAGCCTGAGCTGAAGAGATGGTTTACAAGTTGTCCACAGCAGATTTTTCGAGCGCTTTGAGGGCAGCAGTGCTCGCGATCCGATATCCTTCTACGATCGTCTGCGGGTGTATCCTCTGGGCAATCAACTTTTCAGCTTCGCGCAAGGTCTCTGATGCAAGAACGGTGACGCTCGTTGTCCCATCTCCAACTTCGTCGTCTTGGACTTTGCTGATATTAACCAGAATTTTGGCTGCAGCGTTGTCTAGTTGGATTGCCTTGAGGATCGTGGCCCCATCGTTGGTGACATTGATTTCTCCAGTTGATCCAGACTGAAGGATCTTGTTCATGCCTTTGGGGCCCAGTGTCGATTTGACCAAATCTCCGAGAGCAGTCGCGCCGACGAACGAGGAAAGACGCGCATTTTCGGCCTTTTCCTCGGTAGCCTGACCAGGGAACGTCAGATAGTGAAAGATCCTTGGACAGAAGGCGAACCTCTTGGCCAAAAATTTGCATAGACATCATGGGGGGGAGATGAGGACGCGTCCACAACACGATCAAACAAAATTCTCCTTCTCCAAATTCATGATTTGCTTGAATTTTCATGCAATATAATGGTCGTATCAGCTTGTCCCGAGCACTTGCAGCTGGTCAAAACCGTGCATTCCATTCCATAACAACGGTGCAAGCACAAACGCAGAAGATTAAACCAAGTTTCGCGACGCAACGACCAGCAAAAGTCCGCTCCAAGGATTCAGTGCGACACGTTGAAAATAATCGGGATCATGGTGCGTGAGCCTTTCTGCGGCAGTTTGAGGTTGCTCACCCGTTCTGAAGTGAAGCGAAATGAGTTTGGGGTCCAAATGCTCTCGCGGCCTTTACATGCACAAATATTCAAGAATGTTTCGTTCCCCTCACCTAAGAAATCCTTCATCAATATCGCGCTTCAGCACTTAGAGCACCATGGTCTGGATCCGTCGCAAGGCTCTGTGCTTCCCGACAGTTCCTTTACTCTACCACCCCTACAGGGCAATAATCTGCTAGAGCACTTCCATCGAATAGGCTCGGCGCTCGCTCAGCCTTATCTTGGTCTTGCTCAATCGTTCGCTGGACAACAGCTACCTCCCATTCCAGAAATCTCCGACTGGAACGTTCAACAGAGCGGATGGACCAAGTATCATTACATGCCAGATGGCTCTAGTTACAGCGAGCCTATCGAATACCCTCAGAAGGACGACGGCTCACCCGAGGAACTTCTCAGCTTCGATGTTGAGACTCTTCCCCCATATCATCCATTTGCAATCATGGCTTGCGCTGCATCCCCTACTGCCTGGTACGCATGGGTCTCGCCATGGCTTCTAGGAGAAACGGAAGATCCTGCCCAGTTAATTCCTCTGGGTGACCCTGCTGTCGCGCGAATCCTGGTTGGGCATAATGTTTCATATGACCGAGGGCGGACAAAAGAGGAATACGCTTTGGCTGGGACGAAGAACCGTTGGCTGGATACCATGGCTTTACATGTGGCGGTCCAGGGCATAAGCAGTCATCAACGTCCCGCATGGATGAAGTGGAGGAAAGCGAAAAAGGCTGAGGAGGAACGAGAGATCGAGGCACGGTCAGTGTTGGACGAAATGCTCGATGAGCTGGACGATCGCTGGCGCTCCGAGGATGATGCGGAGAAGCGAGTACACCTCAAACGCCTGAAGGAGCAGCTCAAGGGTCTCGTTGTTCCGGGCACTGCAGAGGCGTCTGTGGATTCTGGGGAAAGCACAGGAGCAGAAGAAGACGGGTCAAAAACATGGGAGTCTCTCACCTCTGTCAATTCCCTCGCAGAAGTCGCTGCACTGCATGGGGTCGAGCTGACAGCACCGAAGTCTACGCGAGACGACTTTATGAAACTCTCTCCGTCGGCCATTCTGGCGTCGCTGCCCGAGTATTTCGCCTATTGTGCGTCTGATGTCCAGGCCACGCATGCGATCTTCAGCAGGATTCTGCCACCCTTTCTAGTACAATGCCCTCATCCGGTTAGCTTTGCCGGCATGCTCACCATGGGAAGCAGTTTTCTGTGCGTGGACGAAGGATGGGAGCAGTATCTGCAGCGGGCGGAAGCTGTTTATCAAGGCCTTGAAACTGCTGTCAAAACGCGTTTGGAAGAGCTGGCTAAACAAGCACTATTGCTTTTCCTCGAAAATTCAGAACAACAGCCCTGGAAAGATGATCCGTGGCTCAGTCAGCTCGATTGGACCCCCAAAGTCGCTGGCAAGTCACGTGGAATCGTCGCTGCTCCAGAACCAGAGATGGCGCCGAATGGTCTACCTGCCTGGTATCTTACTGTGCAAAAGTATCCCCTCTCGACTCGCTCGCTGGAGAGGATTGTGCCTCTTTTGTTGCGTCTCTCATACAAAAACCAACCGATCAAATGGACTGCAGTCGATAAATGGCACTATCTGATGGGCGGATTGGTGACGCGCTTCGACAGTGCATCCCCCAAGCTCAAGACCGGTACCATCTTGAGTGCGAAACATGCTCTCAAGTCTTTCTCAGAAGAGAAGATGTCGTCTCCGGAGGCAGATCTGGCTCTCTCCATCTCCAGCGGAGTCCGCGACCCCATCGTTTCTGAGAAGATCATTGTTTTGGCACAATCTGTTCTTGATGATTGGGAGCAGGGCTGTGATGTGCTTGGTGATCCTTGGTTCTCTCAGCTGGACTGGACTTTGGTCGACGCAGGTCTTAATTTCCTCATGGTGACCCGCGAGAAACTGATCGTAATTCGCAGATAAGAAATCCAAAAAGGCGACGAAGCCCGTTCCCACAATGTGGCCAAAATGGTATTGGGATGTTACGAGACCCAAGAAAGACATGTCTGCTGGCGCCATTGAAATCACCGTCCGTAACAGGATCGCGCCGCTTCTCCTGAAGCTCACGTGGCTGGGGTGGCCTCTGGTCCACTCGCGTGAGCACGGCTGGGTCTTCCGTGTTCCGACATCGGCTCAATTCACGACACGGGCTTCTGCTCTTGACTTTTATGATCCAGCAGACGATTTACTTGCCGAAGCAAGTCTACGGGGCGACTTCACTTTCTACAAGCTACCTCACAAAGATGGCGATAAGGCGAACGTTGGTAGCCCACTCGGAAAGACGTTCGTGAAATACTTCAAGGACCGTACCCTTCAGAGTCCTGGTTCAGAGGCCATGGAAGCCCTAGACCTGAACGCCATGTGCAGCTACTGGATCAGTGCACGTGACCGCATTCTCAATCAAACCGTTGTGTGGCAGCAGGCCGGCGAACTTGGCTTTGTTGATGATCGTCCAGGAAAGAAGTGGGGTGTTATCCTGCCGCAAGTCATCACGATGGGGACTGTCACGCGTAGAGCAATCGAGAAGACATGGCTGACAGCAAGCAATGCTAAGAAGGATCGGGTTGGGTCAGAGCTTAAAGCGATGGTTCGAGCGCCTCCTGGATATGCGATTGTCGGTGCAGATGTCGATTCAGAGGAGCTGTGGATTTCCAGTTGCATGGGTGATGCTCAGTTCGGAGCGCACGGTGCTACCGCGATTGGTTGGATGACCCTCGAAGGCACCAAATCCGCAGGGACAGATCTCCACTCTAAAACGGCTAGCATTCTGGGCATCTCTCGGGACCAGGCGAAAGTTTTCAATTATTCTCGAATCTACGGAGCAGGGATGCGGCACGCTATCCTTCTTCTGTTGCAGAACAGCGCTGGCATGTCACAGGAAAATGCTCAGAAACTCGCCAGCAACCTGTATGCGTCGACGAAGGGGAAGAACACACATCGTGCCGATATTTTCGGTCGAAAATTTTGGTTCGGGGGGACTGAGAGCTTTCTGTTCAACAAACTCGAGGAGATCGCGCTCAGCGATAAACCGCAGACGCCAGCATTAGGGTGCGGGGTGACCTATGCCTTGTCCAAGGAATATCTGCCTTCTGACTTCGGCTCCGACTACATGCCTTCTCGCATCAATTGGGTCGTTCAATCCTCGGGTGTTGACTACCTCCACATGCTGATCGTGTCTATGGACTTCCTCATTGAGCGGTATGACATAAATGCGCGTTACCTGATCTCGGTACACGACGAACTGCGCTACTTGGTCTCCGACGCAGACCGCTATCGGGCTGCTCTCGCCTTACAAATCGCCAACATTTGGACGCGCAGTTTGTTTGCCTACAGACTGGGCATGGACGACCTTCCTCAGAGTGTGGCGTTCTTTTCGGCCGTGGATGTAGACCATGTTCTGCGCAAGGAGGTCGACATGCCATGCGTAACACCCTCCCAGCCGAATCCCATCCCACCGGGCGAGAGCCTGACTATGGAGGGCATCCTCCAGAAGACGGGTAACGGGACGCTGATGAAACACGGCGGTCCGATGTCTGCCACGCTCGCCGAACCATTCGTTGGCTCTCTCAAGGGCTTTGTCGAACCCGACTGTCTCAAGCATCGCTCCAAAAGCGTCAATTTCTTGCAGGCCCAAGCTGCCAGTGACTTTGGCGAAGTAAAACATCTGGCTCAATTGGAATCTGGCAAGAAGTTCGGCGGCGGAATCGGTTCGGACTCCGGGAGGAGGAAAAGTAGGAACCAGTCCGCCCCAGTTGGGAACGGGGATGATTTCGATTGGTCCAAGGCAATAGAAGATCTCCTCAGCGACTCAAAGACCGTAGAAGAGATTGTACGAAGTGTCCATGATCACTTTCCCTGAGCCATTTCTTCTTTGTAGTGATAGTGTACATCCTTTGTATTTCTAGTCTATTTTAGTCATCAAGAGCAGGAAGACTATCGCTCGCGACATCATTCCCAAGTGCTACTTCCTTGAACAACGTGTAAGCTCGGTCTAGATCGTCATTGACAATGACATGATCATGCGCGTGGGGCTGCTTCGCATACTCGATCTCCTTCAGAGCCATGTTAAGACGTTTTTGGACCGATGTTTCTGTTTCTGTTCCTCGTCCTTGTAAGCGCGAGCGCAGATCGGCGAGTGAAGGTGGCGATATAAAAAGATAGATGGGATCTAGAGCGGAGGCCTTGATCTGGCGAACACCCTGCAACGTGGCATGAGCGATGCATCCAGAACTATAAAATGACGGACCTGAGCCTCAATATCCAAGATACAACGCCGTCCCTGGTCTGAGATCTGCTTTACAGTTGCAAAACTTGTCCCATAGAAATTCCCCGAGAATTCCGCGTGTTCGATGAACGCTTCAGCGGCGATGAGGTCCTTGAACTCTTGGGTGGGCACAAAGAAGTAATGTTTCCCGTGGACCTCGCCTGGACGCGGAGACCGAGTAGTGTCTGATTCAAGAATCAGACTCCCGAGGACTTCAGCAGGCGAAAGACGAACGTGAAACAGAAAACCCGAATTTATCGGGAAATTCCGCAAAGAGACGCTGCAGAAGTGTGCTCTTCCCAACACCGGAAGGTCCCGAAATGACCAGCGGACGCAAAAAGTGGCTCATGGCTCTGGCTTGGTGTGAGAGACGAGGAAGGAGGCGAACCCCTTGAGAGGAGGCTGCATTGGCAGCTAGCTCATGTGACGGCGCCAATTTGATTGTCACACCTGTGAGATACTACGATCCCACTCCTTATTACTCCTTTCTTCCCTGCCAGTCAGAGAACCTACTCTCTTACAGGGTGCCCCACCCTCAGTTCGCGCCGTTTCCACGAGATTTACGTTCATTATGGGAGGAGTTTGCTGTAGACCTACGGTCAGTAACGGCTTGTCTTACATTCTTCCGGTACTCACCTATTGTGTTTCACACAGCCGGTCGACTTTGACGGAGATGTCACGCTTTTTCACTTTGTGCTACTGCGTTGTGTGGGCAAGGGTGCTTTCGGCAAGGTGCGTGCGCCATACTCTCGACGGCGCGCGGCTCAAATACCGTTATCCCCGTTCAGGTCCGCGTGGTCCAGCACAAGCAAACGCGAGAGCTGTACGCTCTTAAGTATATCAACAAAGCGAAATGTGTGAAAATGAAAGCTGTTCCGAACGTTATTCAAGAACGACGCCTTCTCGAAGAGGTGTGCCCTGCCCTTGAGTCCGTATTCTCGTCATTGAAAGTCATCCAGATTGACCACCCATACGTGGTGAGCAGCTTTTGTATTCCCAGCACTTGAAAATCGTCTGAATTCGAAGCAAGGTCAATCTTCGATATGCCTTCCAGGACGACGAGAATTGTTTCTTTGTGTTAGATTTGATGCTTGGTGGGGACCTACGATGTACGTCTTGTCTAGCAGGCTGCGACGATGTTTGAGATCAGGCCTCCAGTCCACCTTGAGCGGCTCGGCTCTCTAGACGAAGAAGTTGTTCGTTTCTATGTTGCTCAACTATCATCGGCTATCCAATTTCTGCACGACATGAACATTATGCATAGGTGAGCTATATTTCGTCACAATCAGTTTTTTCGCCAATTTCTATTATAGAGATATCAAACCGGACAACATCCTCTTAGACGAGCGGGGAAATGCGCATCTGACGGACTTCAATATCGGTCTCAAGTTCTCTGAGAGGAAGTTGATGGGGGTGGCTGGTTCTATGGCCTACATGGCACCCGAGTGTGTCCGCTCTCCCACTCCTACCTTCCACGCCGCTAACGATGTCGGAGAATTCTGGCTAAACGTGGATACAATCATCAAATCGACTGGTGGTCACTTGGTGTCTGCGCATACGAACTAATCTTCGGGCGTCGACCTTTCCGCGGCCGAACCAACAGCGATCTCACTTATAGCATCACCAAAGATCCGCTCAAGTGGCCTGAGGATGCGGAGAAAAAGTGCAGCCGGCCTGGAATGCAAGTGTTGAAAGGCGTGAGTGGACCGTGATAAGCTGTCGTCAATATGCTCATTCCGTCAGCTATTGGACCGCGATGTAACTCGAAGATTCGGATGCAAACCTCACAGTGAAGGCTATCACGAACTGCAAAGGCATCCCTGGTTCAAGTCTATTGACTGGGACACATTGGATAGCAAGGAGCAGACGTCACCCTTTGTCCCTGATGTGCGTTTGCCAACTCGGCTTCACGAGCTACAAACTCACCAAAACACAGGCGAAGAAGGCAAATTTCGATGCCTCGCACGAGTTGGAAGAACTCCTCTTAGAAGACAACCCTCTGAAGGCAAAGACTCGCAAAGCTAACCAGGAGAATTTCTCTCCTGAAATGCGGCAGATGGAGGATCAGTATGTATGCTCATGTCGTGGCCAACACTTTCTGAACACTGTGCAGATTCACCACCTATGATTTCAAGAAAATGCAAAGGCGCTCTTACTTTCCTCACAATCAGTTGATCTCGACAGCCACAGCCACTTCTTCAGGGATGGCTTCATCACGACCTGGCACCCCAGCTAACGATCTCCGGGTCGAGAACGGGATCTCGATAAACGGCAACTCGATGGACTTGGACCGTGATTCGATGAGGCGAGTCGAGAGGGTGGTGATGTCTGAAAAAGACTTTGAATGATCTCGTGCTCACTCATTTCATCTATATCTCACTTCTTTTCTAATGCGTTGAGGAGCGCCAGTGCGCACCCATCCTTTCGTTTAATATTTGGGGCATATATATGTTTTTTTGCTTGTATATAGGATGGATACCCACTGTGTCTGTTGTCTAAAATTGTAACCAACAACAGCCTAGTATACGCGTGCTGTGCCCTTGAAATTGGTCGCGGTCTCGTGAGTTGGCAAGCCTGCTGTTTGCATCACGCGACTCGACATGCTTTGATCTGCTTGGCCTCTGTCATGACTTCGATTGAGGGCATACCCTTTTCATTGTATGTGCCCTCCCTTGCTATAAAGAACCACCGAGATGATCATTCTTCCCAGCTTTGTTTCACTTCTGCGCGAGATCTCTATCCATGCTCGACCTCGAAATAAATATCAGGTGGAACGGTCCTCGCTTGATGCTCGTGTCGCACCGTACCCAGCTCTCGCGACGTTCAACAATTGGATAGATCGCTTGCGGAGTCAGTTCTCGCCGCTTCCAGAGGGAACGACTGCGGCCGTGTTTCGTCTACTATTTCCCGAACAGGATGTGGCGTTCAGATACGACATGCAGGAGAAGAGGTTGGCGAGCGCACTCGCTGCGTGCTATGGATTCCCAGAAGACAATCTCACAGCATGGATGTCCGAAACTTCGCTGGGGTGTTTAGGAGACGATCTCCGAAAGTCTCTGACTAGAACTGATTCTGTGCGTGCATGATCGTTGGAACTTTGCTCCGCCCCAACCTTCGTCCAGAAACCTTGTGATTACGTCGGACCTCTCAGTATTCAGCAAGTGGTAGACCTGTTGGAGGAGCTAGCTTCGCATTCGGGTTACTCGGACGCAGATGTGCGTTCCAAGTACCCCACAGGCAGTCGTCGACGGGACAAGAACACCATCATTCGCAAACTGTTTCGCGAGCTTCCGACCATGGATGCAGCGTTCTTAGCCCAAATCATACTGAAAGATCTACGCCCACTGCTATATCCTTTAACAGAAACGCATTACACCGCGGCACTGAAGTCTTTCAACACTCTTTCCGTGACTGCGTTGACCCAGGTTCACTTTTTCCGGCGATCAGCCTAGTTTCATGCACTCAACTGAGCTTAGGAACATGCGATGAAAGCTTGGGACCCCAGTCGACGGATGTGCGACATTTATCGCGTGCGCTCACGTCTAGTGGATGCTGCAACCGGCTTCGAGGCAGGACTATCCTCCTTGACGCCTGAGATTGGAGTCCCTATTCAGGTCACCTTCGGTCATCAGTCACATGCAGTCGAAGCTCACACCGTGTAGATGCCGAAGTCGGAAAAGGGCCGCAGCTGTTTACATGTCCTGGAACGACTACAAAACTCGACAGAAATATGGGCCGAGACCAAGTACGATGGAGAACGTGCGCAAATCCACGTCAAGATCCGGCCAGACAAACGAGCGCATATTCAAATCTTTAGCAAGAGCAAACGAGACTCGACTTGGGACAGGCATGCTATTCACGATGTTATTCGTCAAGCATTGCAGTTGGATCAGGAGAGAAGCTGCGTCCAGAGAGATGTCATCCTGGATGCGGAGATGGTTCCATGGCACGAAGGGCAGATTGACGAGTTCTGGAGAATCAATGGTCTCGTCGAGGCCACGGCAAAAGGAGTGAGAAGAAGAGAATCCAAGTCACTCATCGAGGAAGATCTTTCTCAACTGTCTCTTGTGACGGACAACTCGGATCGTCAACTGGGACTGGTGGTTTTTGACATCCTGATGCTCAACTCGAAGTCGCTCATGCGCGAAAGCTATTCTGCTCGTCGGGATATCCTGGAATCCGTCATCAAGCCGATTCCAGGTCTCGCTATTTTGGCTGACCGATGGCCTATAGGCCTACATTGGGGCAACAGACAAGGACATCCATCTTTGCACCATGTTTTTGCGGAATGTCTGGCTGCTGCGAAGGAAGGACTGGTTCTCAAGGCCGGAGAAAGTGGTTACAACGATCGCCGACTTCCCTGGGTTAAGCTGAAGAAGGACTACATTCCCGGGTATGGAGACTGCTTGGACATGGTTGTGCTGGGTGTTTCTTGGGAGAAGGAAAGAGGGCGCGAGTTCCGAGTTGCTCCCGGCACTTATACGACATTCTTCATCGGAGGGCTGCTGAAAGATCGCGGTCGCTCTGAGAAGCCGGTATTCGGCATCTATTTCACAGCATCGTATGGTCTTGGTCGCGATCAGCTGGAGGATGTCAACTTCCGGATAAAGAGCTCTGACCCGATCCCTTTCAAATCCTTGAATGGGAGTGGATCGCTACCTGGATATGATTTCCAGCTGCATGCGGGGCTGACTCCTCCTATGGCCCTGTTGCGAGAACCACTCCTCTGCGAACTCCTCGGGGCAGGTTTCAGCAAGAGTCCCCACAGTCGGGTACGTCCTTGGTGGAGATATTTGACTGGGTCTGACGTTCAACCAGCACTACGCGCTACGTTTTCCCCGTATCACCAAAATCTATCGCGCACAAGAACGAAGTTGGAAAGAGGGTGTAACACTCCCCAATCTCCACAAGATTGCACGGACTGCAGTGGGCAAGACCGCTGCGGCTGCCGATGAAATCTGGGGCAAGTCTGAAGACGAGACACGAAAGAGAAAGCGTGCCTCAGCCCAGTGGGAGGACAGATTATTTGCAGATGACAGGAGAGCTGCTCACCGGAAGCAGTGGTCTTTATTGCATCGAAGGATCCTGGGCACTTTCCAGTCATCGCACCAAACCATCGTCACGGGCACCAGCCATGCTCCGTTGGCCGATATCTCCAACTCCCCGACGACGGAAACATTCTCGGACGCTGTAGTTTTTCTTGCAACGCAAAACGAGCCCTTGCGACACCAGTGGCTGATGGGTTGTAGACCCTATAGCGTGGTTGGTTCCTTAGACGAGCTGTTCTCTGCTTGTGAGTCGGAGGATTGTTCTTTCACCCGTGGTATCGTGGTCATCTGTGCCGGAGATGGGCCGCGAATAGAACGAGATATCCGTTGTAGAGATAAGACCAGGGCCAACTGCAAAAGAAAAGCAATCTATGTAGTTGAAAAATCTATTCATTCTTAACCTACTTTTAACAATCGACTTAGCTGCGATAGTCTCCATTTATTCTGACATATTCCTGAGCACCGCGATTAGTTTGGGCGCACGATGAAATTCGACAAAGGCCACATACATAGCTGAAATCGCATGTCCAGTAAGTTGCTTCTTCCGTTCCGATGTTTCCAAGATCGACACAGATGCCGAAATCTGTCTGGCTCAGAATTTCTTTGGCACGGGCTTCGTCGACGATTTCAGGTTCTCCGTTCACAAGAACCGGGAGTGAAGCTGTGTTGTCTGATGGCAGGAAAGTCACGCTCACTCGGGCAGGATCAAGGCGCGACACAGGGACAGATCCAGTTGCAGCCAGGATTCGACCCCAGCTGCAAAATATACATTTCAGTACGCTTCAGCGAGCGACGAACAGACGACGACTCACTTGGCGTCTTCGCCGTAGAGAGCTGTCTTCACCAATGCAGACGTTGAGATGGTGGACGCAATCCTGTGAGCATCCTCGAAGGTCGGGGCCCCCTGACAGACGCGTCACATTCAACTCGATTGAGGCCATTAGACCGATGCGGTGTGCAGCGCACCTTCACGTGCACAGCAACAAACTTGGTCGCGCCCTCTCCGTCCCGAACAACGAGTTGGGCAAGCTCAGCGGCGAATGAGGTCAGTTCTTTCTTGAAGATCTCGTAACCGTCTTTGTCTGTCTCCTCGTCGATTTCGATTACTTGCCCATCGACCGCAGAAGCTGCTGCACCATTGGCAAGCACCACGATCGTGTCGTTCGTTGACATGTCGCCGTCCACGCTGATGGAGTTGAAACTCCGTTCGACAGCGTAGGTCAGGGTGCTCTGTAGACTGCGCGGCGAGACGGCTGCATCAGTGAGGATGCATCCCAGCAGTGTCGCATGAAGCCCAGCGAAGGAAGTCGACGCCGGCCCCATGTCGGGATGTATCATGCCTGCCCCTTTGTCCATTCCAGCTAACTTGAATTCGATCCCGTTGATGGTAAAAGCGCGCGACCGCAGTTTGGGAAATGTGTCGGTAGTCATGAATGCTTTGGAGGCGCGTTCCCAGGCGTCGAAATTCGAGCCAAGGCTACTCTCAGGCTTCCCCTGCAACCGAATAGCTTCCACGATCTTTGCAATAGGCAGGGTCTGTCCGATGACTCCAGTAGACATGACCAACGTCTGGTTTTCGAACGTGGGTGTGTTGTGGGGTATAAGCGCGTCAGTCTCTCGGACCATGGTCCACGCATCTTCCATTCCCTGACGGCCTTCGCGCGGAATATCGGTGAGAGATCACAACATACCGGGTTCACATACCAGTCACGGCATTCGCACAACCACTATTAACAACAATTGCTCGCGCCCGTCCACGGTTCTTCGAAAGTACCTCATCCGATACCACCACAGGCGCCGCCTTGAACGCGTTCCGAGTGAAGCAAGCGGCAGCAGATGCAGGTTGTTCGGTGGTAGAGATGATCAAGCCAAGGTCAAGCACACCGGCTTTCTTTTTCACACCCGCATGGGTACCAGTAAGTAAGTAGCCTTGCGGGAATGAGTTGTCAGGAAGAGGTTGATGTAAGTGAGCTTTCGAGGGCGCGCTTTTTGCGGTGAAAGTAGAAGAGAATCGTTGCAGAGCTCGTACTGGGAGCCGTGACATGGTCGGAAGAGACAAGGTGCGAGGACACTAAAGCAAGTTTGAACGGGACTCTCATTTTGTGCTGTTCCATCTCACAAAATGACTCAGGGATTTTCGCCGTAGGGGAGATGTATTTCTAGATCTTTGCCTGCTGTATATAGAATACATGATACAGCCGTACGAGAAGATCAGGAGTGAGAATCATTCTACCATCGCTCCGTTACCCGCTAGGCCGTGGATCCGGACCGTAGTGAGTGCAGTCCCGAGACTGCATCGAGGGAAGAGTCAAAAGAGACTGGACCCTTCTTGCGATCAGGCTGACTAAGCATTATGTTTTCTGCTCTAACCCGCGCTGTTCCCAGAAGGGCTGGACTGGGGGTTGCGACATCTCGAAGCTTATCCCAGCCATCCCAGCCTCCATCCCAGCCTCCTCAGTCTCCTCTCTCAGAGCCACAACCGACTGCTGATGTTTCAAATCTCCCAAGTCTCGATTTCTCTCCCGAGCCGGAGCATCAAACTGGCGCCAAATCCTCCAAGGATTCCTTGTCCTCCGCTGAAATAAGACGGAGGAGGCTGGGTCGCGCTGCTTTTGGTCTGCTATTGGTTGGTGCTGGCTTCCAGGCGTATGAGCTGGGTCGCGAGTGGGAGCAGTACGAGCTAAAAGCTAAGAAAATGGTGCGTTGGTTAGCTGTGCATCGTTCTTCTCGTGTCTCAGTCGTCATAGACTCTTGAAAATGCGCCAGCGACACGATGGGGACGCACTCAAGAGCGCTTCACGGACATGTTTGACGTACGTCATTCCACTGACGCTCTGAATTGCTTCTCAAACAGCTCAGTACTTTGTCAAACCCGTGTGGTCTGAATTACTGCCGCCACCTCTACCTGCTTCTCACCAAAAACCCCTCACCCTCGTACTGTCTTTGGACGACCTTCTGGTCACGTCCACTTGGGATGTTAGTACCACGGCCGATACTAATGCCCAGACTGACACTGTTTGCAGCGGCAGCATGGATGGAGGACGGCGAAACGACCCGGTGTGGATTATTTTCTAGCTTATATCTCCCAATTTTATGAAGTGGTCATCTTCACTACTCAAAACTCCTACGTAGATGACATCTCACATCGTCGAACGCCGTATGCTGATCTATGTTCCAGACCGCTGCTCCGATTTTAGAGAAGTTGGACCGCTACAACTTCTACATCTCTCATCGTCTCTTCCGCGAGGCAACAAGAACCACGAACAGCGGGGTTGTAAAGGTAATTTAGATGGTGAATTTCAGCGGTGTTCATTCGTTGACCTGTTGCCCTAGGACTTGTCCTACCTGAACCGGCCACTCGAGAAGGTTGTCGCTCTGGACACAAACCCGGAGCACGTGTCCACTCATCCTGAAAACACGATCGTCATCCCGCCATGGAAGGGGGATCCCAACGATCGGGGACTCATTGCCATGATCCCCTTCTTAGAGTGTTCGTCCCTGTGCTTCTCTCAATTTCTTGTCGTTGAACGTACTGGCAGCCATCGGGATCTACAAGCCTGCGGACGTCCGACCCATCCTGTCCGCATACCAAGGAAAGGACATTCCCGTCGAATATGCAAAGAAAGAGGCCGAATCCAAGGCTGCACATATCGAAAAATGGATGAAAGAGCGGCCAAACGGATTGGCGCGGGGAGGATTTGCTTCGATGCTTGGTCTCACGGGTGATGTTAGTTGATCTGAGTTGTTTACCACCGGTTACTCAAAGACCGACCCAGAGCTCGCCTCGACCGTCCGTTCCGCCGACTTATCTCGAGGCTAAGCGTAAAGAGGCTCAAGAGAACTACATGGAGGAGCTGAAATACATCCGGGAGCACCAAGAATACCTAGAGAGTCTTCTGAAGAAGGAGCAGGAGATGGCGATGGCCGCCGTTCCCAATACTCTCTTCGGAGCGCTTAATCAATTGGCTGGAGAACCCCCGGAGCCCAAGCAGGAGCAACAAGACAAGCCTGCGTCGACATCCTAATACTGACAATCATAATCTTCTAATCTACACCCCACTCACGTGCATCGCTTTTATTCATCTGACAATCCTTGTGAATTAAACTTTCTGTTGTTTGTCAGCAGCAGCTAGACTGTCGTGACTTTCGATATCCCTGGTGAGACGAACGAGTTCAGCAAGAGGGCAAGGCACGATTAAGGTCACGTGCATCGATTCCCAAGGATAGTCCAGCCACACATCTTCAACCGTTTGACCTGCGAAGTATCTGCAAATATTCAAGTAATATGACGCACTCGAAGCCCTGGATACTCACTGAAGGTCGGCGGGCAGCTCGGCAAGTTTTGGTTTCAATTTATTATGCACAACAAACACAGCAAATTTCGTTGCTGCCCGAAGTGCTGGTTGCTCAGACTCAGGGTGCTTGGCAAGTTCTTCTTCGACATCCTTCAGCAGTTCAGAGTGAGCGTAGCTTCCCCAAATCTAAGTTTTTCACCAGAAAAAGACAAGTTTCTCACGCACTGTAACGTCTTGCGTGTGTCATCCACTTCGTCCTACAAAGGAGTATCGGATGATTGTTTCATTAGCACAACGAGCTTTACAGACCACAATGAGAATCTTGCGGCCTTCAGTGATGTTAGTGGTAGAAAAACGTGAGAAGGGAAGAGAAAGCACCAAGAAGCATTTTCCCCGAGTCAGCACCACTAAAGCAGAGATGGAGACAATCCTTGTGATCTATAGGTACCAGAACTCACAGCCATTGGGTGCGGATGACCTCGTGTCCGATTTGGTTCACGCTCGTGCCTGGAGACGCACTCGTCAAAAGCTCATGGCGATGCAGAAATGAAAGACCTTCGATCGGCTCGTAGAGAGATAGTCCGATGGCTTGGATTTGAAGAGCCTTGTGTTCGGTCTGTGCGCGAAGAAACGTCCTCATGACCCGGGCCGGGAAGAAACCTCTGTTACAAGGATTCGACACATGGGAAATAGGGCGAGGGGGGAGGTGACATACCCCCCACCAATAGCGACAAGAAGATCCGGGTCAAACTCGGCTGCGATCGTTGGGGTATTCTTTCTGCGTTGCGGTTCGTTCGTTTTTCGCCAATCTCAACGTTATCTTGGTGCACCCACTTAATCAGATTGTGGACTGGAAGAAGTCTGTTGATGCTCGATAGCTGAGATGATCAAAGCCTCACTGTCATTGTACGAGACACGCAGATGTTCAACTTCGACACCTTCTCCGAGAGTCATTGTAGTAGTAGCAGGGTAAGTGAAAGATGGGTGGATAACTAAAAATGATGATCTATTTTTCGTGCCAAGATTGGCAGGTGTGGCAGTGCGATTAGCGCGACTTGCTCTCTGTCCAACCAACGACTGTCTACGCTGCAGGGATTATGGCCGGTTAGCGCTTTGAAGCCATCACCTGCGAAAATCTTTCAATGATATATATCCAGATGGCGCGTCAGCATCTGGCTCTGGTCTGCCCAAGGCTATTGGCAGTCTTGCCAAGAAGTCATCCGACGTGACGCGCCAGGGAACACAAAAACTTAAATTCACACCTGTTCTCCCAGTTCGCAGACAGGTAAAAAAGGAGTACGTGCCACATCTACATTGCTTGTCAGTGTGCCCAGTTGATATGCGCGTAGGGAAGTAAAGAGTGTGAGTTTTTGACCTCTGCCTGTCGCTTCTCGCATTGATTCTCCTCGAAGGAGCCAGCACCAGACGTCCTCTTGCAAGAATCCGGACGTGGCCGTGGACGAGGCAGAGGCCGAGGGGAGGGTGGAAGAGGCAGAGGACGCGGTGCTCCTCGGGCTCCCGTGGAAATGACCGCCAGTGGACCATTCGCTATGGGTCCGGCAATGGGGACTGCGCGGAGATCCATCCCGAAGTCCAACTTCGTCATCCCTACTCCTGCCAATGATCGCACCTCACTGGGCGCCGGTTTGAAGCGTCTCGATCATCCTGTGAAGAGTGAGAAGGGTAAAAACAAAGCCGAGGAAGACGAAGACGCCTATTCTGAGCCAGATGAAGGCGTGGAAATCATTGACATGGAGGATGTCCGGCAGATGGACTGGATGGCACCTGAAACTATCAAAAGGGAGAAGCGCTCCGCCAAAAAGCCCAAGAAGAAAGTCAAGACAGAAGAATCAACCATGGATATAGATGCTGATACTGAAGTCGCTGAGAATGGTGCTTGTCTTTTCATCCTGATGTCGTCAGCATAACCGATTCCGTTGCTTGTAGCAGCTGAGGTTGATGCGGCCAACGCGCTTGATCTCAGCGAAAGCGAAGAAGAAGAAGAGTACGAGGACCTGATTGAACATTTTGCAAACCAAGAAACTGCAGCTGACTCGGAGGTGCGTTCCGGCTAGCCTGTACGAGTGTATTACCAATTCAATTTCGAGCAAGGACTCATCCCTGCGAGAAGAAAGACTCTATTTCTTTCAATTTCCTAGTCCATTTCCAACTTTTCACGCCCCTGCGGCGTCTTCTCCAACTCATGCCACACCCGATGCACCTGAAGCTCCGCCGAAGAAAGTCACATTCGCGGACGACGTCAAAGATGAACTGCCGCCCGCTATTTCCTCTCGAGTATCGTCTGATGCTTCAGATTCCAAAGCGGAGAGAGATACTGTTGATGGCATGATTGGAACCTTGGAGGTTTACAGGAGCGGGGCAGTGAAAATGCACTTGCAAAACGGAATTTTGCTCGATGTGAGATTCTTTCTCCAGGAACAATCATGTTCACTGACGAAAAGAGTCTCAGGTTGCAGCTGCGACTCAACCATCGTTCCTTCAGCATGCTACCCTGCTTGACCTGAAGGAAAAACATCTGACTATCCTTGGCGAAGTGAACAAGCGCTTTGTGGTGTCTCCAGATGTCGAGACTTTGCTTACAGCAATGGAGCTTGCGGAGCGTCCAACCAGAAAACAATCAGCGACAGATGCCTCGTGACAGTGGACTGGATATTTCAGATCTATGGACCACTACTTACGAGATCTAACCAATACACTAGATCTGACCAATTATTGGAGTCGAACACCTGGAGATGGATTAGCCTCAAATTTTGTGAACGTGGGCGAGACAGGGAACGAGAGTCAGACAAAGCGGGCTATGCCCGAAGGTAGCTGGAATAGAATTCTGCAGTGCAGGGTGCGCTCCTGCGTAAAGCCAAATGCCTCCAAGACATCATAGAAAGGGAATGGTGTATAGAATGGAGAAAAAACTTACCAATTCGGATGCATACACCTTCGAAGACACCTAACGTGCTCCTGAGACGGTCAAATCGACACAACTGGTAGGACGTCAGCATGCACGTTGGGATAGCCGAACATGAACACGAGAAGGAAGGGATTCAGAAAAGCGGGCTTTCGCCCGAAGGTAGCGAGTTGTTTTTCTGCAGTGCAGGGTGCGCTCCTGCATAAAGCCAAATGCCTCAGACATCATATGGAGGTGTAGGGAACGAGACCACAACGATTTTCATGAGAAAAAACACGCACCACTTTGGTTTGAAGCAGCAGTCGCGGACGCAAGCGACCGTTTTTATAGAAAATTTTAGACTCCGCTGTCTGATCTGATCATTTCCCCGGATCAGAGCACGCTTTATCCGTGGCATCGACACGCTCTCAACAATCATGTCCTCTCAACAAGCTGCCTACCCTATCTCCGCCTCTCAGCCTGGATCCGGCTCCGACAACAATTCGAACCCGCCCCAGTCACGGCAAGCAGCAGAAGAGGCAAGGAAGGATCGGACTTTGGCTGAGTTCATGCTCATGCTGGATGAATACGATCCTCTCGTTCGTTCACCTTCTCTCATTGCAACGATCAAAGCTGAGCACTTCCTCAGATTCCAAACGAAGTAACCGACTACTACCTTCAACGGGTCGGTTTCGAATGCGAAGATGTCCGCTTGTGAGTCTCGACGACCACCGTGCCGAAGCCGTGCTCAGTAGTGGTCCAGAAAGCGATTGCTTTCCTTGGCCGCTCAGAAATTCGTCTCTGATATCGCTGCGGACGCGTATCAGCATGCTCGTATTCGTACCAACGCAACGGGAGGACGTGCGAGGGCAAATCAGCCTTTTGGCGGAGCTGGTTCCGCGAAAGTAGGTCTTGGCCTTGACATATCTTGTCTCGCAGCGTTGATTGACTTGATTCAGGATAAAACCCGAACCACCCTCACGATGGAAGACCTGAGTGCGGCTCTCGGAGAATACGGTATCAATGCTAGAAAGCCAGAGTTTTACCTATAGTCAGTAATTGGCGGCCGTAGCGCACCTAGATTTCCCGTATTCTCATGTCTTGTACTGTCCCGTATTTTGTACCGATCAATGACTTCCAAAGAGAAGCCTGCGGTATTGAGAGTGCGCACTGCGCGGCTTCAACCTGTTGAATGTCTTACTCAATTTTGATGACACTCAATCATTAACGCGAACGGCGATCAACATCATAAGCGACAATCATGGCTCTTAAACTCAAACCACCATCTGAACCTTCTCCGACGCCATTTGCTTGGGATGAAATCCCTTCGCCATCATCGTCGACGGGTTCTTCTTCCCTCTCGTCGCCCCCCACCGCGTGGCTATCCGCGCGGGACATGAAACTATTTGGCGCTCAGCCTATGACCGCAACGTCTGACATCGGCCTTGTGAAATGTAACGACTGCGACAAGCCCATACTTCGCAGCTTCATGGCAGAGCATGCAGGTTATTTTGTTTCTCCACGTTCACACCGTATGCTGAATGGCTGTAGTGGCCTGTGCTCAGCTACGCGTCGGGGGCAAGAACACGGGGAAACACAAGTCTGGGGCGGACTTGGATGGTGAGTCTCAATTCACGCGGCTCGTCTTAATACTCAAAACCATTAGACTTGAAGAAAGGGTCGAAGAAACGCAAAGCCTCGGCAGAACCCTCGGATCCGTCCTTGCCTCCCAAGAAGAAATCCAAGCCAGCTACGAAGATAATGAAAGGTCGCATGAAGGGGCCTATTGATTATGACCAGCATTGTGGTGTGATCAACGACAAGGGACTGCCGTGCTCTCGTTCATTGACTTGCAAATCACATTCCATGGGTGCGAAACGTGCAGTTGAAGGCCGCTCTCGTAAATACGACGACCTTCTACTTGACTGGAATCGCGCTCACAACCCCAATTTCGTGGAACCGGTCAAGCGGGAGACCAAAGCGGAGAAGAAAGAGAAGCGGGATAAAGAGAAAGCTGAGAAAAAGAAGCTGGCGGAGGAGCAAGCGGTGGCTTTGGGTGTTGCGCTCGGCGTCGATCCCTCGACAAACAAGAAGGGTTCGGGTACGGGAACGAAGAAGAGCGGAAAGAAAGCTTCTGCGGCGATCCGCATGGCTGCAGGAGATGACGCGCCAGAGAATTTGGACGACATAGATTCGGAGGCAGAGCTTGATGAACTGGTGCATTCAGTCAGAGAAGCTACTGCGAAGGGCATCATCGGTGCTCCTTTGGCCATCCCTTGTGATGCGAGTGCATGGTTTGTACAACGGAGAGAGCGTCTGCGCTGCTGCCGTGATCTTCTCGTGGGTGCTCTGAGTAATTCGAACAGCAATCTGTCGATGGGAATGGGAATGGGCAGTATCGCCGGTCGATCGAGTCTTGGAATGGCCCGCAGTTGATCGTGTTGGACTTTCGGAACATTTGTACCACTACTCGACGCAATTTGCTGATGATTGTTCTGATAAAGTTATTCTTGTCTACGGAGAGTTGGGATTGAACAGTATCCAGCCGGACAAGGCCGGACCTGGACTTCGTTTGTAGAGTCTAGACTGATCGCGCGAACACTGAACTTTTAATCGAGAGAAACAAGCAGGACGACGAATTCATCTCTCGAGTGCTCACTCATGTGCTCGATGCATGACGAGCTCGATCGCAGAGATGCTTCACAGGTTACTAGGTTCGTTGGAAGCTCGGAGTCCGGCTTGTTTGCGGCTATGTTGCCCCCCGTGTAGCCGATCTAATAAAAATCTTGGTTCCCTCACCTTCACCGTTGGCTTTGTTGGCGTTTCCGTTCCTCCGCCCTTGGACCCAAACTCCCTAGAGAGTTCAAACACCCCAAGTCCTTATTGGAGCCCTGATACAAAGTATGGCAGAGGAAATCGATGACTACGAGGCACTCCCACCTAATGCCGGTCTCATGGTGAGAAATGCTGTTTTATGCCTCTCCACGTAATTGAACGGACAATAGGTAAACATGCTTGCAGGCTCATTGGTATGCTCCCGTTTCATTCAGTCCAACTTGTTTGACAATGACGCGTGTAGGCCGGCATCTCTGAGCATGCAATCATGTATCCTGTGGACAGCATCAAGGTGAGCTTTTCGAGTCGGGTACGCGACGTCTTCTCAACAAAGCACTATCCGCCGCAGACGCGAATGCAAGTGTTCACTACGTCTCCTGTGGCCATGTATACGGGTGTGGGGAACGCGTTTTCTCGGATCTCTTCCACGGAAGGAATACGGGCTCTTTGGCGGGGCGTGTCCTCGGTCGCGTTGGGCGCCGGTCCGGCACATGCGCTACATTTCGGAACGTTTGAGGCCGTGAAAGAACTGACGGGCGGCAACTCGAGTTCGCAGAGCAGTCAACAATTGATATCATCAGGTGCGCCACTGTGTGCCCACATGTACGGACGATGTTCCTGACCACAACGATAGGTCTCGCTGGCGCGTCGGCCACCATCGTCAGTGACGCTTTGATGAATCCATTCGATGGTATGTCACGTTTCGCTTACTTATGCCGATTAATGTCGGCGCAGTCATCAAGCAACGCATGCAGATGCACCAGTCCGAGTACCGGAGCGTTCTTCAATGTGCGCAAAGCCTTCTGCGGAACGAGGGATTCTCAGCTCTCTACGTGTCCTATCCGACAACCCTCGCGATATCAATACCCTTCAACGCCATTCAATTCAGTCTATACGACCAGCTGAAACGTGTGCTGAACCCCCGGAACGAGTACTCGCCCTCGTCTCACATCGTCGCTGGTGGTGCAGCCGGTGCCATTGCCGGTGCTTTGACCACGCCGCTTGACGTCGCCAAAACGCTTCTGCAGACCCGAGGGACTTCACAAGATGCCGAGATCCGGAACGCCCGGGGAATGATGGATGCTTTGCGAATCATATGGGCCAGAGACGGGATCAAGGGATTCGGACGAGGATTGACGCCCCGGGTCGTGACGATCATGCCTAGCACGGCACTGTGCTGGATGTGCTACGAGTTCTTCAGTGCGTATAGCAGCCTTTGGTGGTTACCGCGGGGGAAACTGATCTCATCGACAGAGTCTGCAATCAGAGCAGATTCGCCTTAGGCCGGCCTGCTGGCTTGCATCTCGATTCTCTGCCCTAGTCGATCGATGGGATGCCTCCACGTATGCTCTATTTACTTGGACCAATACAGTATAAAAGGCCTCGAGCTTAATTCATTGTTGTCATATGTCTTCCAGATGTCTATTTGGGGACAGCCCAGGGCTTGAACGCATTATCTACAGAGTGAGCCGACGCGTTGAGCTCCGGCATATTGCGGCCAATGACTGTGCGGAAGTCCGAGTTGGCGATCCAGTCCAATCCCTGCTGGGTGTACTAGCGGAAATTGTCAGGGATAGGCACGAGCGGGATCAGAGATAACTTACAACAGCAGGAGTGTAATCGGTAGTGAAGAAACGGTCCGTCATCAACCGGCGGGAGGCAGCGAGGATGAAAGCCTGGAACTGGGTGTTGCTGAACGCAAATCCGGTAGCACGCGGGCTCTCGGCCAGACATCCGACGAGCATGTCCACGCTCTCGACGTCGTTGCCGTAGATGGACCGGAGGGCTGCGACTGCAGCTGGGTCGTCAGAGATGTCGTCCATGGTCTTGGCCGGGACGAGCGAGAACAGCCGGCGGAACTCGTTATACCGCGGCACGCCACGTTCTCGGTCGCGCATGATGTCCACAGCGGCCATGTCAAGCATGTACGGGGTTCCGGGCTTATTCAGGTTCTGCATCGCCTTCGGGTAGTTGCCCAGCTGCAGCGCGCCAGGGTAGTCGGCACCGAACGTGTAGACGACATCGCTGAAGTCGTTGTCGTGGATGACATTCCAGGCGTTGGCGAACGTGTAGTTGACGATATCGTACGTGTTTCCGGTGCTCGACCCGTCGGCGTGGTTGAGAATGGTGATGTTGTCGCGGAGGAGCGAGTGGAACCGGTAGACACTGACGAACTCCTCGCTGTGTGCGAAGGGTACCCCAGCAAAGTCTGGTTTGCCGCCGATGATGCCGTACCAGGCCTCGGAGATCTGCTGGTCAAAGATGTCCGGGAAGCTCTGCAGCCATGCTGGAGCAAGACCATACCAGTTGGCATTCATGGCCATCTGCAGCGTCTGGTCCTGGAGCAGAGCAGGTGTCCACTCAACCGTGTGTATTTTGGCATTGAGAGCTGTGGTCACGAGACGGGCATGGTCGTAGATCTCCTGGTCGTTCCACGAAGGGTTGCTGCAACACATGAGCCTCGCTCGAGGCCAGATCACGAGATAGACCGGACGCACGCTGCTTTGAACATGTCGGCCACCGCGTTGTGTTCTTTCGTCCAGATGTTGTGCATCATCGACAAACCGACCCACCAGTTGTCGTTGAAACCCGTCGCATCGAGGCCGTTCGCTCCCATCGGAAGCAGGCCGTCAGCGGCAACCTTCATCTTGCCGTCAACCCCGGCGCGTAGCGGAGCATGGGTCGCGTTGTCGACGCCGTAGATCTGGCTGAGATCCCACCAGTGAGTGTTGACGTTAGTGTAAGTGTTCGGCCGGCCATCGTGGGTTTCGAACACGGTGCGCCGGAGAGACATGTTCTTCTGTCCGGTCGCCAGCAGGGGATCGCCGGCGGGTACATCCCACACAAGGAAGTTGTTCGGGTCGTTCTCAATTCCGTGGCTGAACCTGGACAGTTGTCAGCTCGCATATACGGGGATCCGAGATGATATGGGCGCACCAATCGTGGGTTTGGAACTGGATCCATGCGACAGCAAGCATGTTGATTGAAGTGGCCGGGGTAAAGGATTGGCGCGAGAGAATCTTCTGGCTGATGAGACGAGGGTTGGGGGTGTAAAGCGTGCTCCCCGTCTCAGACCAACTGTCGTTGATAGGGATGAACCGATGGAAACGAGTATTAATGGACCCCATTCCGGGCACAGTCAAGTTATTGCATAGCCCGTCTAGCGTCCGAGCGTCTGTGTCCGATGGTCAGCGCCAGCACAAAAGAGCTTGATAGATATGCTTGCTTGTATTAACCCCGGCGCATGACATGACAGGGAATTCGCCATCCTCGTACGTGTCGAAGAGATTGTTGGCCTCAAGCTGAGTTCTCGTCGCTCCCAGGTAGATGAGAGCGATGTACACGGGCAGCTGCGAAATGTTCAAGTCAGATCGATACTGCCGAGGAAGACACGACTCACAGTCCACCACTGGGGGATGATGAAGTAAACCATCGCAGCACCTCATCCACTGTCTGCGAAGCCAGGTTTTAAAGCGAGATCACTAGATACCGAACTGTTGCGCATTGTGGGACAAACATCTCTCGATATCTCGCATGGGTGATGCAGCGTGTTAAAGCAAATGAGCTGGTCGGGCACGCAATGTGCTCAAGATGTGAGCGCCAAGCTCATATGCAACTGTCAACGCGGGCTCTTCTCATCAGTGGCGGTCCGTTTCTCCATATGGCAATTGCGACGATCATCGTGTCGCGTGAGGCAATTTTGCAAGTTGCCCACATGGATGACCATGCTAAGAATCACCGAGTACTTGGAAACGGAGGCTTAGATCGGGTCAGTGTTCCCGGATGCCGGGCTTCAGAACGCGCACTCAGATAAACTCGGACGCCATTCAATGATTTAATTTTAGATGATTCAGCAAGGTCACATTGTGTGTGTGGTATGATACAAGTTCTACGACCGGGCTGCAGCTGTAATGACATCGGCAGCTTTCTCACTAATCTGGTATGTGGCAGTGGTCATAAACATGCCTGCGAAATCCAGTCAGCGTTTACGAGAAGGGACACACAGCAGAAACTGACCCGGAATCCACGGATACGAGCTAGCATCGACCACCCGGAGATTGTTGACCCCCCGGACCTTGAAGTTGCTGTCAAGAACTGCGTTTGGGTCTGAATGAAATCAGTCAGGCAAGATCCGGGCGCAAGAGCGAGCATGCTGCCCACCTCCATCCGCGCCAATCGCAGCAGTGCAGCAGACGTGGTGTCCCCATGCATTTTGGATGATGAATTCTTTCAACTCGTCATCCGTCTGCACATTCGGTCCGGGCCAGGTCTCGCCCAGAGAGTTCGAGTTCATCCCAGACTTGGCGGCCCACAACGCGCGAGTTTTCTTGACTGCGTCGACCATGACCTGCAGATCCTCGAGATCTTCAGCCGTCTGGAACTGGTTTTTGTTGATCTCGAGCAGGTCCTGCGGGTCAGAGCCAGTCAGGCGCACCCATCCTGCGCTCCATTAGCGATCGGGTGACAACGAAGGAGACTCGTCACGGTACCCTTGGAGGATGTGTGGGCTTTAAGAAGCACGTTGTTAAAGTGATTCACGCTCTGCTCAGCTAGGATGACGGGATATCCTTTGTAGTACACCGCAGACCCGGTCTGACGCCCGAATGATGTTGGTCACCAACACCGTTTGACATTTGTTAATGATGTGAGGTAGACATCTTAATGGTGATCAGAATCAAGTCGAACAGCTAATCACTCCGTTGTATCTCTGACCAGGATGTATTTCTTACATCCAATACAAATATCAGCTTTATGTATGTAGAAACATACTATTCTATTCAGTGATGATCTTGATCTTGTTTCTTGGATATGTACATGGCCCTCAGGCAAGATGTCAATGCGACAGATGATTTCGACTTCAATATGAGATTTGGATCATATTTCTTGGTACACAATGACTATCAACTAAGTACTCGACCCAGAAGCAACACCAAACTCAGAGGGTACCAGGCTTGCACCTCGGGATGAAGGACGTGTCCCATTCTCCTCCTCCTCCTCCTCCTCCTCCTCAAGTTCCTGGCGCTTGCGTTTCTTCTGACCTCGGCTGAAGCGCTGGACTTTGGCTGCCTGTGCCGAGAGAGTGATCAGCCAAGCGGGACACTCCTTCGCTAAGGCCGATGTGCCAATTTTGCATTTGGTGGTCACAGGATCTCCATACTTCTCGATGTCGTCTTCATAAGCTTCTTCGAGAGCTCTGGGGCCGACGCAGAAGAGTCAGACTCAATTAGCTAAGAACTGTAAGACGCAACTCACGCAACAAAGTCCATATCCCCGATGTCTCGCAACTGATTCATCTCGCTATCGAGTATGTCCCAGTGCTGCTTCACGGGATGATTCTGTTCCACGTGGTAGCGCTAAAGAGGCGGATACATCAATGAGGGGGACAGCGGGCTGAGCAAAAAAGACTTACCAGATATGCCATCCGCATGAATGTGAATCGCGTTGCACAGACAGATGGGTCAGCATGTTTCAGAATTCTCTCGCAGAGATGAGCAATGTTCCTCATCTCCTTGTTCTTGAGTTTGATCGATTTCAAAATCTGTAGAACGGTCAGGAGCTGCAACAAGCAGAGACAGTCAATACCTCCCTCAGCCTTGAGAGCAGAGCGGATCACACTGACTGCGCGACCCAACCAAGTCACAAAGAGACCATATTCCTCTGAATCAACGCCCGGGACACGCTTAACTTTCATGAGAGTCAATGTCGTCTTAAGTAGAGTAGTCAGTGGTGCTCAAGAGCGGTCACAAGCCTCACCAGAATCGCCGTTTCGATGGTTCCACCATAATACGTGAGATTCGGGAGACAGAGAATAGACCACACGTATTTCCGACAGATCTTCTAAAAAAAATGTCAGTAAGACATGAAGGCGATGTGAAACTTGCATGCAGCTCACAGCCAGTGACGTCTCCGGAGCCCATTCACCTTCGTGACTCCCGGCCGTATCAACTAAGCCGCGAACCATATCCTTTGTCTGAAGGAGATGCATGAACGCGATGGTGTCACGTTCGTCCTTGTTCGAGGTCTGAGAGACTGTCAGCGCAAGAAGTTTCCATTGATGTGAACTTCACCTCGAAGTATCGTCTAAACTCTGCTTCACTGTCGGCAGAGAGGCTGGCATCTTTGGCAAGACGTTCTCCGAAGCTCTTCACGCTTGAAAGTGGGAAGCGTGGCTGAGTCAGAGGAGGAAAGTCGGGAGTGCTGTTGTCACGGTTGAGTCGAGGTGGAAAGTTCTCAGGCGGAGCAAGTGGAGAACTCGGCACAGGCGTCGAATGTCTGCTACCCTGCTGCGAAGCTGCACGGGCAGCTTCTGCGCGACGCGAAGCCCTTTGAATCAGTGACTCCGCCATGAAAGCAAAGGGAGAGAAAAGGCGATGTCGAATTAATGTGTCAACAAACAAAAACTGCACGGCTGTGTTAAGTTCGAAAGATTCTCACCTCGAGAACAGACCTTACCAGAAGTGGGTATTCTAAAACCCATATAGACTATTGCACAGAACTGGAAATGGCACCGACGCGCTGGGAGCCGCCATCGGGTATTATCATCGGCTGTGCGCAAGAGAAGGTCAGAGCTGACTGCCACTTTAGAACTGAGGCCGCACCTGGAATACTCTCCAAAGAGGACTCATGTTAGATGCCTTCCCTGTCTTGAAGAGCGGAAGTCGGGAACTGGACGGTTCATAGACCGCAGAAATCTGAAGGCGCATTTGGAAACAAGCACACATTCTGCAGCTTGGACAAACCATCAAGTGCGCGCTAAAAACCGAGAACCTGAAATCGCTTCTATGGACACCTCATACACTGCAGATGCTCTTCAGGACATCGTCGGGCTCGAGGACAATGTTGCTATGTTGGCTTCGACACGTCTTGGGATGTTCTCCGAGTCTTCCACGAACTTGAGCCCTGAACACCCAGATCCATCGTTGTTGGCGAGAGGCAGGGACGATTGGTCGGCTCCGGTGCCCTTGTTGATAAGCGAGTTGGGCCTTGGCTCGTCGGATTTGTGTGAGGCAGACACACCCGAAAAGCGCAGAGCGCTTCTTGCACACCAATTCCAGGAAATCCTCATGGATGCAACGAATGCCCAAACACCTCTTGACTTGCTGAGCGACGAGGATTTTTTGGGGGATGAGATCAACGAGATCATGGCTCGAGAACAAGGAGATGAAGACGATGACCTTTGCTTTGATTTTGATGCACGCGCTTCATCGGCATACAGGCCGTATCCGAACAAGGCCGTGAGTGGAGTGCTCAGTTTATTGGCACGCTGGAACTCATCTAAACGTCTCAGATGATGCTCCTTGATATTATGGACAACTTGCCGCGCTGCCGCTTTACAAGCCTTCAGCTCTCCCTCATAATACATTTTGCGAAACAGCTTGGGGCTCCGGATATCCCATCTCTGAAGAGCTTTCGTCAGTTCCAACAAGTTCTACAGGAAAAAACGGGCCACAAACCAGTTCGATGTGTATCTCAATTTGAGAATGTCTTTTACATGAACGATATCCGTGATGCCATTGCTCGGGATCTGGCCAACCCGTTGGTTGCGCCGCACCTGCATTTCTATCCGGAGGAGCCATCAGGTCCCATTTCTGAGGTGTATCAGGCCGAGCGATGGTTTGAATACACGGCATCACAGTTAACACCGATGTACAGTCGAGGTCACAAGCGGTGGTGGATCGAGGAACTGTCTCGGCTTTATGATGGAACTTTCGTGATTCCGCATACCTGGATTGTTCGCCAAGGAGTGCTTACCGCCGACGCATCCGTTGTCATACACAACCCCGATGGCAGCTGGACCATATCCTCCGAGGAGCGGACAATCCTGGCCGCTGACCTTGAGCTGGACTTCGGTGATATCACAGCCTTATTCGGTCAAGATTTTCAATGGACGGACGTGAGTACGGTTCAGGTGATGCCAAATGTGCAGCGCAAACTGGTGGATGAAGACGAAGACTTGTTTGTGGTCATGGTCTCACCCTGGGCCGACGATGTCTCCGGTAACCGATCGAAACAATACAATAAACACATGAATATGTATACAGGCAACGGTTGCCTCCCTGGTCGTCTCCTCCAGCAGGAATTCCACATGCATTTCCTCTCGAGTTCACCGCATGCTACTTCACCTGAGCAATTCTCCGCATTTCGAGACCAAGTGAAGGCCACCGAGACTGATCCCATCCGATGCTTCAATGCAGCGACTAAACGAAAAGCCCGTGTCATCCTTCGAGTTCCATCGTTGCCTGCGGACAACCCACAGCAGTCCGAAGAGTCTTCTCATATGGGAAGTAACGCGAACTTTCCATGTCGAAAGTGCCATTGGGGCGGGACAAAGATCGAGAAGGAATCTGATGAACTCTATCATCGGTGTCACTATCCGGGCATCATGCGAAACACAGCTGAGATACGCACTTGCCTTAGAAGACAGCTTGAGCTTGCAACTCGTGGGGACTCGAAACGAATTGAAGAGCTTCAGAGAACAACGGGGACGAAAGACAAGATTACACAACACTGGATTGGTGTACTGCTTGACAAGTTCAAGTTAATGAAATCAAACGTTCCCCGGCCAGGGGTGGAAGATATTGCTGTCAAATTGAATCAATGGCTGGACGAGCAACCCGGGGACAAAATGAACCCATTGCTTGATCTTCTTGGCCTTGATCCATCGCAGGATACACCCATCGAGCTGCTGCATACAGTCCTTCTCGGAATCATGAAATACATCTGGCACTTCATGAATACCAAAAAATGGTCCGATGAAGATCGACACTTACTTGCGATTCGACTCCAGTCCACAGACTTGAGCGGCCTCAGCGTTCCGCCCATCCGGGCAGCATACATGATACAGTACAAGAACAATCTTATCGGGAAACATTTCAAGACTTTGATGCAAACCCTTGCTTTCCACGTCCACGGCATCGCAACACCCGAGGAGTTTTCCCTCATGAAAGCAGCTGGGGACCTGGGTGCTCGTTTGTGGGTCCCGGAAATCGATGATATGACAACGTACCTGGCCGAAATTGAAGTTGCTGTTGCGAACATTCTTGATGCATTCGATGCTGTGGACCCATCACGGATTTTGGACAAGATCAAGATACATCTGTTGACTCACATAGCAGACGACATTCGACGCTTTGGGCCCCCCATCAGAAGCGCGACAGAGATCCAGGAGTCCTACAATGCCGTGTTTCGACTGTGCTCGGTTTACAGCAACCGTCAAGCACCGAGCCGAGACATCAGTACAAAGTTTGCTTCGATGGCGCGCATGAAACACTTACTGTGCGGGGGCCTCTGGTACAACGCTGACCGGGATCATTGGATTAATGCTGGAGATGCTGTTTGTCGGGTCCTTCAGGATGACGCTACATTCCAGCAGTTCCTGGGTTGGACCAAGCCAAAAGATGTTAGCCCAGGATCCATTTCGGCTATGCCAAAGAGGATTCCACTCCGAAAATGGACGACGACGCATGCATCAAGATACCAAGACTCAACCTTGTCTGCGAAACTGCCAAACGGAAGCACAGCAGAGATGTGGAAAGCGGGGCAAACCTTGACAGCGCAGAGTGGTGACGCGATCCAGAAGGGAGGCTGGGTTGTTGCATTGGATCCGCACGCCAAGGTTGTCTTTGGTCGGGTGATCGAGCTTCTCCACTCGCCAGTCGCAATCGTCACAATTGAGTGCTTTGTGATGGGTGAGAAGCGACATCCAGACTTCAAGTGGCCAGTCTTACGCCGTCCAACTGGCCAGGAGATAGTTGCAGGAGCGAAGAACTTCTGGGTCCTGGAGGGAAGTGCCGTTCAACTTGCGATTTCCGTTCAACATGACTGTCGAAGGGGGGGCTGCGAACCGAACATCGTTCGCAAGGAGAAGCAAGAACGTGAAGAGACGAACCAGATTACCAAGTTAATCCAGCACTCTGACGATGACCGCTTCATCCTCAATCTCTCCGCCTGTCATAACCATGTACAACTGTGCCGCATCCTGCCTCCAGAGATGACCATGCTTGAACCACTCCATCCGGATCGAAAATCGTTCCATACCCTGATGTCATCGCAAGCCCAATCGATCAAGACGAAAAAACGAAAAAGGACAGCCGAGAAACGACGAGCTACAGCGGCAGCCAAGCGCGAAGATGCAGATAGGGCGGAGGTAGAGGCAGGAAGGGCTGAGAAAGTAATCGATGAAGAGGCAGACGGGGCGGCAGATAGTGACCTAGAGGGTTCAGACGCTGGAGGATCGCCTGGGATGGAGACAGAAGAACTGGCATTTGTGTCTGTCGACTTGGATGAGCGACCGCGAAAATGGCGCAAGGCAGCCATGTGACTTGATGGATGGATGGATCACCGGATGTGATGTCTCCGCTGGATGTACATCTGATCAGTTGGGAAGATTTCTTGTGGATGTAATCCTATAGTTGAAAAATACGTCTAAGTCACTTTATCATATATACATGTGCAGAACATCGGTTGAATATCCGACGAAGATGTAATCTGGATGTAAATACTTCACATCACCCTAGCATCAGGCCGGGTTGGTGGTGTAGCCCTCGAAAGCGCCAGGTCCCCACATGGCTACAAAGAGTTAGCCCAGGCAGAGCAGACCGCGCAAACAAGCTGGCACCCACACCACATGTCACTGGAAAACAAGTCAGCTGACGAGGCTCCCATGGAACAAAAGAACTCACAGATAGGGCAACGACTCATTCGACCGGTAAGTGTGAGCCCAGACAGCTGGCCCAGAGGAGTAGATGTTCGAGTGACCATCCTGCGACCAAGTGTCCAAGCAAGGATCGACAGCCATACTGTCCGTGAATTTGCAGCCGTTGAAAAGAGTAAAGTTCTTCTTCATCTCCCAGATGACGGTCATTTCAATCCGGTCCTGCAAGTTCGAGCCGACGCCGGGAAGATCCTTGACCAGTGTGATGTTGTGTTGGGCAAGATGAGCCGCGGGTCCGATTCCAGACAGCTGCAAGAAGACATGAGATGTGACATATCCAACCGTAGAGGAAAACACACCATGAGCAACTGCGGCGTCTGGAACGTCCCGGCGGAAACGATGATCTCACGCTTAGCAGTGTAAAGCTTGGTCTGCAGGCCCCCAGCTGGTTTGCCCGTGAACGAGCGGTGAACGGGAATCAAAGCCGGAGCCGTAGCGGCCTCGACTGCATAGGCAACAATGTTGTTACCGCCAGTTGTGCAGGTGTGAATTTTAGTCGCATAGGTGTCCGTCTGCAGAATGAGGTTGTTCGGGTGTGCTTGGTTCGTAGCCATGATATGATCGCGAACTGAAGACCTGTTGTGCGCAGAGTCTTTCGTCAAGATCACAGCAGCTCCACCCGCGACACCGTCGTTTGCTGGGTCGCCGTTGTAGTCGGTTCCAGCAACAGGGAGCACGGCCGTGATGACCGACGTAAGAATGTCAAGAAGTTGCAAATCCAAATTGTTCAACGAGAGTAGGAGGTTCAAAGGAGGGAAATCGGTGTTGAGCCATCCGCCGTAACCGTCTGCGCTGGCATTAGCATACACTCGGACGACTGAAACGAAATACGCACAGCTCAGGAACGAGCCAATGATCTGGGGAATGTATAGGTTGTTCTCTATCTTGTTCGTCAGGTAGCTGCGCATCTTGGTCGATCCCCAGCTAGGGTCCTTCAACTCGGTGGCCATCGTGTCCAGATCCCAGTCATGTGGTCGCAGATGAATGAGCGCGTTCATGGCTGTCGAGCCACCCAGGGCCGAGCCGCGGGGATACCATTTGGTCACATTTCCGGGACCCGTAGGCGGGTAATGCGTCACTTCATAGTCCAAAGTCATCTGAGGGTCCTCGTTCGCACGAGCGAGGTAGAGGGGGACAGTGGTGTTGTCGTTGTAGACATTGTGACCCGCATCCATCAGCAGAACTATAACAAGTTAGAATTGGAAGGCGAAAGAGGAATAATTCGACCTTTGAACCCATTCAGTGCCAGACGGGACGCCAAGGGTCCGCCTCCGGCGCCAGCACCAACCACTAGTTCACGTCAAGTCTCAGAGAAACGCACTCCATTCTACACTCACCGATGTAATCATACTCGGCACTCGAGGTATCCGGGCAAGTGGCAAGAGCTGCCGCCGCCTGACGCGCAGCGAGTGACAACGCGCTCACGAAGGTAACAAAACGCATGCCGAGAGTATGGGCTTGTTATCCACTGCTACCTGGAACAATTTATGTATCCTCGTAGCCTGAGAGCATGCACAGAATCAACGCGTGGTATCACACAAGACCATTACCATACCTTGCGACGATCTTTCTTACCACACATGCATACTTGTGCGCAACATGTGATTTCCGCCAATCAGATCAGAATGAGTCCAGGGCTGCGACATCTTCCTGGCGCATGCTGCACATGGTAGGCTGGCGACTGCCAACAAATGACCTAACGGTGCTAAAGAAGGTCGCGATCGCTTGCTGCACGTTATCACTGACGAATGATGGCCATCATGATTTCCCCAATCGCGCTTGTTCACATGTCCTATGTCCCTGCTGCTCAGCTCGCTGTTTCGACGCGTGTCCCTCTTACTCGCGGGGCTTTGTTTCATTCTACTATGTATCCCTGGAGGAAAACCCCAGTCTCGCCGAAAGGAATTCAATGACGAGGAGGTTCGACTTGGCTTTCCGATGAAACTCAACACCACATCCTCTTCCAGCTTCAAAAGCTCTTTCACTGCAATCCTTCCCATAACAGATCGAACATTCTCCAACTTTGAAGACCTACTGGATCCATTCTTCTCCTTGAGTAGCTGCGTTACGGATGTGTTGATAGCATGTCCGGAGTCTCTGCTGCCACAGGCGCGACTGGTTGTGCGCCAGATCGTTCTTTCCTCGGCCCAGGATCGAAAACACGTTGACATGTCTCTTTACTCATGGAACGTCGAACAACACTCCTCAAGCCGTATTATACTTGAAGCTGCTTCAAAAATGACGACAGATTGGCTTCTCTTGCTTGACGAGGAGGGTCTCAGCGGATTGACTGGGCGAACTCGCGATATGCTCCTTTGTCCGGCAAGCCTTGAACTACCCATAGGATCCAGAGGAGTCTTTGCACAGTCCGGCAGCGCGTCTTGCGTGGTGCCCTCACCCGATCCTACTGCTACCCTGTATCTGAAGCCTCCATTCTCAATACCTCGTGCACTGATCAAGAAGGCTTACAAAGACTGGGCTGAACTCGGAAGAGCGATCTCAAGCCCTCAAGATGGGATCGGTGGAGTAATGCGCGGTTGGGAGGGTGATGGAGATTGGTGTTCGACGTCCCGTTCGGATGGCGCTCCCCTCAGCGTGACGTTCGTATTTGTTCTTTCTAGTCGAAGTGACTTGTCGGCCGCCTCTCACCTGATTTGTCGTCTGTTATCTGCCCATCACGAAGTCAGGATTCTACTTCACTCGGAGAACGAAGGAGACGACCACATGGCTTGCGATCTCACCTGGGACGGTTTGGCTGACAGTTCGGCTTCCGTTCTTGAGTGGTTGGACCGTTTGGATCAAGTGCCGGATGTGTTATTTGCCGTTGAAGATTTGGCAGCTGGTTACTCTGCCCGTACTGTCATAGTCCGAGTACCTCGTGAAGATCTCGCACACACCAGCTGGATGGGTTCCATGTCCTATCTGGAATGGATCAGTCAGTTCTCGTCTTTCTTTCTGTTTACGACTTGCTCTCATCCGCTTCAGATTGGAACATGCCAACGGTTGAGCTCAGCATCATCACTCAAGATCGGCCGGGATCTCTTCAACGACTACTGACTTCACTCTCTAAAGCTCGCTATTTTGGAGACTCTGTGGTGTTACGAACAAACATGGAACAATCTCCTGACACTGAGACCCTCCAAGTTCTGTCTGAGTTCCAGTGGAAACATGGGCCTGTCTTCGCTCACCGTCGAATCATACATGCCGGATTGATGCCGGCTGTGGTTGAATCCTGGTATCCTAGCTCAAACGACAGCTTCGGCGTTCTTTTGGAGGACGACATCGAGGTCTCTGCCCTGTTCTACGCCTGGATCAAAATGACAGTCCTCCGTTACAGGTTGGTCGCCCACGCCGTGCTAGAATTCAGACTGATTTCTCCTGTAGATACAGCGAGCAGAGTCATCTGACGAAGCAACTCTTCGGTGTCAGCCTCTACCAACAGAAAAACATCGAACTGCATCCTGAGAGTCGCAAGTCTTTCAATGCTCGCAGTTACTTTGCGCGGAATCGGATCGCCGAGCCAACAACACCATATCTTTCCCAGATTCCTTGCAGCTGGGGAGCCGTCTACTTTCCAGAGCACTGGCGCGAATTCCATGGCTATCTTGCTGAGCGGTTCTCTCAAGCGAAGATGGACATCAATCAGCCAGTGGTCCCTGGCGTCCGCTCAAACACCTGGACTCGCTCCTGGAAGAAGTATTTCATCGAGATGGTTTACCTGCGTGGCTATGTTATGCTCTACCCCAATTTCGCATCCTTCATGTCTCTGTCCACCAACCATCTCGAAGTGGGATCCCATGTCAAGGATAGGTCCAAGGAGAAGCAGCGGATGTTCAGCATGCCCCTCATTGGAGCCGACGAATCTTGGCGATTGTTGGACCTGCCGGGCGAGAGATTGCCGGCATGGAATACACTACCCGTACTTAATTTGACTGGTTCTCTGACGACATTAGAGCACCTTGCATCGGTATCCATGCCCAGTCCGTAGCCATGTGATTAGTTGCCACGTGATAAATCAAACACGCATCCTGTGATTGGTTCTGACACTCCCCGCCGGGTCCAGCCGGGGAGATCAGGTCTTGCTTTCGACGACGACGACCATGTCCGTCCTCCCCCGTCTTTCTCGCTCTTTCTCCTCCTCTGCTTCGCGTGCGCTTGCAACGCCTGTCACCCAGAAGGCTGCGTTGAACAAGACCTTCAAAATCTACCGCTGGAATCCGGATGAGCCCGAGAAGAAACCGGCTTTGCAGTCGTACACCATTGATCTCAACCAGACCGGGCCCATGGTGCGCATTCATTTCGTTCATGCCATCAATTTTCGTCTGACACGCGCTCCAGGTGCTGGACGCCCTCATTAAGATCAAGAACGAGATCGACCCCACATTGACTTTCCGTCGGTCATGCAGAGAGGGAATTTGTGGCTCGTGTGCCATGAACATCAACGGCCAAAACACATTGGCGTGTCTTTGCCGTATCGACAGAACAGAGGGCGCGGACAGCAAGATTTACCCCTTGCCCCACAGTGCGTGACATCCCGCATCGGCCTTCCGGTCTGACAGCGGCTCGTACTCCAGTGTACATCGTCAAAGACCTCGTTCCTGACCTCACCAACTTCTACAAGCAGTACAAATCCATCAAGCCGTATCTGCAGAACCCGAACCCGCCCGCAGATGGCAAGGAGTTCTTGCAGAGCCCTGAGGACCGTAAGAAGTTGGATGGAATGTACGAGTGCATTCTGTGCGCTTGCTGCTCGACCAGTTGCCCAAGCTACTGGTGGAACCAAGACGAGTATCTTGGCCCGGCGACGCTGATGCAGGCTTATCGGTGGATTGCGGACTCTCGGGTATAAGGCTTTCCTAACTCCGCCTTACCTTGACGCTGAATATGCTTCTCAGGACTCGCACACCGAAGAGCGGAAGGAGGTCCTTCAGAATGAGATGAGTCTGTACCGGTGCCACACGATCTTCAACTGTCCGTCCATCTTCTGCTAGCCTTTTCTTCAGTTCTCATGTTCCATAGGTTCTCGCACTTGCCCGAAGGGTCTCAACCCTGCAGCAGCCATTGGACGCATCAAGATTGAGCTCGCTGCTGATTAAAGGGCTGGAGGACATACCCACTTTACCTACATTGTCAATTCGCAAACCAGGAGTAACACATTCAATTATTTTCGATAGACGACTAGTCGTTGATGTGAGCGCGGCCATCAAGGACCCGCTTGGCCTCGCTTGGTCCGTAGTTCAACCGCCCACTTCAACAACCCCGCAATCCAGTTCGTTTACGCTCCAAGCTTCGGAATGAGAGATGACTCGCAGGCTGGTACCGTTGGATTTCAGGCTGGTGGATTCCTGGGGGAACCAATCCCACCCCTATTCGTCGCGAAACGCTTGACAAGTACGTCATCGCGATCGAAGGTCGGTAGGCTGGTCCCCGAAATTTCTTGGCTCCACCCACCGGTCCTAAAAACTCCACTGCCACACTTGACCGAGTAGTGAACTTCGACCTGCACCATGACTGACCCTGTGCCAGTCAAAGAGCGTGATTTTGCTCCCCATGTCGACCTCGACAATGCACAACTCGACGAGCACCCCGAACAGCTACCAGCGCAGAGCCACATCAAGCACGAGCGCGAGCAAGACGGAGATTCGGATTCGACGGGCACCGAGTTCTCCGATGAAGAATTCGACTGGGATAAGGAGGACGAGGATAGCACCCAGACTACGTCGGAGAAGCACTACAAGGCGAAGCGCGGCCGAGCGCTGTGGCTCGCGTTCATGAAGCTTGCGCGACCCGTGCGGACGTTCCTCATAGGGATATTGGGCACAGGGATCCTCATCACACCCTTCATCCTCTTCCAAGTAGTGTTCACGAAGAGCCCTGCGCGACCACATGTCCATGCCTGGCAAGTGCTCACTTTGCGTATCGTGTACCACCGCGAAATCTCACACCATCTCTTCAGGTCGCTCTGGTTCGCGATCATATGGGCCGCCGGATGCCTGACGAGCTTGGTTATCGACAACATCACCCGCTTCATCATCGCGGTCATCGTACTGTTCGGAGGTCACGTCGAGCGACTCAAAGTCCAGCTTGAGGTCGTTTTCGCGGTCAAGGCATGGCTTAAACTTGTTCTCGATGTGACTTGGGCTTGGGTCAGTCTCTCGGTCATCCGTGCAGTTGGCCATCCTCCGGGCTCTTACTGGACCATCATCAATCGGGTCATGCAAGCTTTGTTCTCATTCGCGATGCTTCTTCTCGTGGAGAAGGTGAGTAGTATATTCTGTCTCATCTTGGATATAGTTTCACAGTCTATGCAGCTCTTCCTTCGCTTTGTTGCTATAAGCTTCCATCAAAAGGCGCTGGCCGACCGTCTGACCGAAAATCGACTGGGCCTCAAAGCGCTCGACCGACTCTCCAACGCCCAACCCGCACCGAAGAAGCATCCTTATGGTCGCCGGGGAAGAAAGACCCCCACCGGCTCGGTCGACTTTTCCAGTGTATTGCGATTCACTGGCAACGGGAGTAAGCAGGTCCCCGAAACGATCCCCGAGGAAAAGGTCGACACGGGCAAGCCGATGAAGAAAGAGTCGGTCCGGAAGCAGAAGCGGCGCAAGGCGATGACCAGCATCATTGTCGACCAAGTCGGGGGTGCGATCGGCCACGTCGCCTTCAAAGGAAACAAGGAAGGCAGACTGGGTGAATTGGCTTCTGCGAGGAAGTTGGCGAAGAAGTTATTCGGCGCCTTGAGCGATGTGTATCCACCCCGGTCGCATCTCATTGTTGATGGTCTGTGGACGTTCCAAGCGTCTTGCTGTTGTTTCGCTGGCTTACCACCATCCAGACTTTTATCCTTACTTTACCACCACTTCCGAAGCTGTTCGTGATCTTTCTAATTCTGGATCGTAGTGTGGCCCGTGCTCACCATTCTCACAGACGGAGGCCTTTGCACTTTTTGACAAAGATGGAAACGGCGACATCTCGAAGAAGGAGATGCGCGAAGCGGTCCAACGCATTTACAGAGAACGACAAGCGCTGACATCGAGCTTGAAGGTTTGCGCAGTCGCTCTCTTGGCTCTCCAGCTCATCATATTTGCAGGACGTCGGCTCTGCGGTCGCCAAGCTGGATGCCGTGCTTCTCTTCGTCGCTCTGATCATCCTCATTTTCATTTGCTTGCTGATCTTCAACAAATCGAACACACTGACCTCGCTTGTTCCACTGGGCACGATCATTCTCGGCTTTTCGTTCATTTTCGGCAACTCCGCTGCGACGCTCTTCAACTCGCTCATCTTCATTTTCTCTACCCACGTGTTTGACGTGGGTGACCTCGTGATGATCGACGACCAAGTCCTCGCTGTCCGGGAATTCGGGCTGTTTGCGACCACCTTCCGACGTGTCGACGGACAGGAGATCATCGTCCCGAACTCGCTGCTGTCTGGATCCAAGCTTGTCCACAACTTGCGTCGCAGTAACTCGATGTGCGTTCTGCGCCATCTGCTCTGTTGTGGTAAAGTGCTGACGACGTCGCAGGTGGGAGAGCACAGAACTCGTCGTGGCTTACACAACGCCCCTCGAAGTCCTCGAGGAATTGCGGACAAGAATTAGCGCCTACATCGCTGCCAACAGCCGTGAATGGTCCGGCTCCGGACTCAACATCGACAAGATGGAGTTCCAAAATGCCATCCATCTCATTGTGGCCATTGAACGTGCGTAACGGGCTTCATCTACTCTGCGCATGCTGGCTGAGACGTCCACACAGATCGAGCCAACTGGCAAGACTGGGGTGCCCGCTGGACGAGACGAAACGAGTTCATGCGCCATCTCAAGACTATTCTGGAAGATCTCGATCTCCGGTATTCGCTGCCCCCTCAGCCCATCGTGTTCCCGCAGGGTGGCCCGCCCCCTGCGCGCGCCTCTCCCGATCTTGGGAACGCTGGCTCATTCGGCATGAGCATGCCCCAGCCGGCCCGGTCCTTCCGGCCGGATATGAGCGGGTTCCAATGAGTCATGTCAATAGAAACCCGAGCAGGACTCGTCTAGTCTACGCATAGGCCTCCCAGCATCACTATCATCTAAAGCATATCAAATTATCTTGGACAATCTATCGCATTGCATGCCCTGGCGTCTGACTACTCATTAGTGGAAGTATCTACTGAATTAAACTAGACCAGCTTCGTTTGCGAGGGAGAAGAAGATCGAGGACTGGTCGGCCAGCAGAGCCTGGGGCTCGTCGTACTCGGCCACTCTGCCTTGATCCATCACGAGGATCTTCGAGCCACTGATGATGGTGTTCAATCGGTGACTGTCACAGATCAGATCGCATGCTTGGGGAGAGAAGACACGATTGCGTACGCGATGGTCAAGATGGTCACATCTTCGAATGCTGGAGACTTGAGAATGGACTGGATCTGCTGGTCAGTGTCGAGATCGACAGCCGAGGTGGCTGTGCGACGGGTCAGCCTAGTCTGGCTGTCGCTCTACATCCTCACGCACCTTCATCCAACACCAAGATCTTGGACTGAAAGAGAAAAGAACATACGATCAGTCCACGAATCGAGATGATAGAGCAGAAACGAACCTTCCGCAGCAGTGCACGGGCGAAGCAAAGGAGCTGCCTCTGTCCTGAGGACAAGCTTTGTCCACCCTCACGCACCGGAGCGTCCAATCCCTCCGGAAGGCTCTCGACGTATTCTCTCAGATGCGCTTGCTCCAACGCCACCCAGATATCGACATCCTCAAACTGTCCGACGGGGTCGATGTTCTCTCGCATCGTGCCCTCGAACAAATCGGGCGTTTGCGGCACAATCGAAATCGACGACCGCACTGGAAAGTGATGCCGTCAGTCCTCAGTTCAATACTGACAGAGACGAAAAGACGGACGATCATGCAAACCGATGTTTCGGATGTCGACCCCGTCGATGAGGATAGTGCCCTCTGCTGGCTCGATGATGCGGAACAGTGCCAGCAACAGGGAGGATTTGCCTGCTCCGGTCCGACCGCAGACACCGATCTTCTCAGCAGGTTTCTAGAGCAAGGTTTAGACTACGGTCCGACGGTTGAGTAAATAAAACGCACGATATCAAGTACGATGTCTTTGAGCACGAGATCCAATTCTGGGCGGTACCGCATCGAGTAGTTTCTGGAGGCACGTGAGCCCACACGACCACGTGAGTGGGAGACACACGTACTTGAACTCGATCCTGCCCTTGGATGGCCACGGAGCCTGGGGTTTAGCCTCTTCGATGAATTGGGGTTTTTCGGGAGTGGCGTCCGACTGGTGCAGAATGCGCTCGACACTGACGATGTTCTGCTCGACATCACTCGCAGACCGCACGACCCAATTCAAGCTGCTTGTGGCATTCATGGCATACGACAGCACCAGACCCACCAAGCCCGCATCCACACCGCTCGTGATCAGCGCCGTGACAGCCAGCGTAGACACCATCAGGATGATCAGCGCTCCGACAATTTCCAGCCGGATCGACAGCCAGCGGTTAACGGCGATGCTGGGCAGATAGCAGATTTGGTTGCGGTCAATGTGTCGCTGGTTCGCCTTGATAAAAACATATTGCTGATTGAAGGACCGGATGCTGGGAATGTGTCGGTCAATGAAGCCACTGCTCAGCAAACCAGCTCACGTGGAAACTCCAGACAGCGACTCGGAAAACCAGGCAAAGATGGGGCTTTTGGACACAGAGTCAAGCCGCTTCAGCTCTCGGGATGTCGCAAGGTAGTATCTGCAGACAGTTTCAGACCAAGTCGCCAAACATCAAACAACGCCGCTTACTTCATGGTCCGGAGATAGAACCATCCGATGGGAAGGACCGACAACAAAAATGGCGGGAAGCTGAATCCGATGACTGCTAGAATCGCCACACACACAGTGGCCGTGCGGAACAAATTTTGGATCAGACGCGCCAGGAGAGAGTCGACGACATAGACTGTGCAAATTCGTAAGTAAAGAAACGAAGGCACAGCAAGATAACACTGCGAACCATCGCGCGAGAATAGATTGAGGATTCGGCCGGTGGGAGTGAGCTCGAAGTAAGAAAGGGGTGAATCCATCAGTGCTTTCAGCATCTAGACACGATGAGGATCTTGAGCAAGCAAACCAGCAGGGTCACACGTACGAGATCATGAAGATACTTGGAGCTCCGCAGGGAACACAGAATGAAAATGGACAAGCTGGCCAGGGCGCCGAGAATGGTCGCACTGAACGTGAACGAGCCATACACCAACAGGTACTTGAGCATGCCCTCGTTGCTTCCCACCTCGCGGTTGTGTTCGCCCCAGCTGCGCAAAGCGAGATTGCCAAGAAGAGTGAGCACCTGCTGAGCGATGGTGGCCACGACGTAGATCGAGAAACCCATCTTCGAGGCAGCCTCGATGTATTGCCAGTACACCCGACCCTTCACTCGGCCCTGCTCCCGATGTTCTGTGCTCAGCCCCGCCGAGTTCGCCGCCCGGACAGACTTGGCGGGAGCATTGATTGCCTTGGAGAATGGACCGCGGTTCTTCAGCTTTTCTGAGATGGCCAGCGTGTAATCGGATGTTTGATCGCTGCTGACGACGCTCGCGTCTTCGACTGGTGTGACTGACCCACTGGTCACAGCGTAGGGGGTAGACGATCCGGACGCGTGCAGACTAGTTCCATGGCCTCGACTGTGATACAATCAATGCCGCCCAATACAAAATAGCTCGAGTGGCTTACACAAGTTTGCACAGTTCTCCCTCTTCGTTCTCCAATAACGTTGGCACAGGCCCACACTCCATGATGATTCCGCGGCGCAGATAAACGATTTGGTCAAACTGGTGCACGAAAGCAATACTGTTCGTGACCAGAATACGCGCTTGAGACGACAAGAGGCCGTTCGGTCCGATGACGTTGTCGAACACATGACGCGCGACGTGACTGTCGACCGCAGCAAGACAATCGTCAAGCAAGACCAGATCTGCTCGCGCATAGACGGCCTTGAGGATGCATAAGCAGGTGCATCAAATGACAGTGCATACACTCACCCTAGCCAGACTAACACGAGCACGCTGGCCTCCGCTGAGCTGGAGAGCAAATCAGAAACGGCACGAATAAAAAGCGACAAAGCGTACCGTAATTCCCTTCTCGCCAACTTCGGTAAGATCTCCCTGGGCAAGAAGAGCAAGATCGGGGCCGAGCGCACAGGCTTCAATGACAGTCTGGTAGAACTCCTCTTCGTACTGCACAGTTGGGGATCAGATTGCAACTAGGGGCTTGGTTAACCTCCACATACCACATGATTGAAGATGATGTTCTCTCTGATCGTCGCACTCAAGATCCAAGGGTTTTGTGGAGCATACGAAACCGTGCCGAAAACCTTCACTTTGCCTTCGCTGCGAGACATGTCTCCAATTATCGCAGAGAGCAAGCTGGTCTTCAGAGGCGGTCACTAGACGTCCGACAGCGGGAGAAAGAAAAAGAAATACGGACCTTTCCAGCGCCAACCCGACCCATGACACCAGTCAGTTGACCAGCCCGCGCGACGAGGTTGATGTTCTCCAATGTGGGCACAACCGCAGTTGAATCCCAACGGAACTCACCATCGATGATGTTCACAACCTGGCAAGGTTTCAGACGAGGGTGCGGTCATCATCAAAACTGGACAAACCTCATCTCCTGGCTGCAAATCAGGCTTAATTGTGACTTCTCTGGCATCCGGCTGCAGTTCTGAAGCGCGGAAGAAAGACTTGAGACGCTTGACCGATACCAGGGCCTCCACAATGTTGCTGATCACCTGACTGAACATAGCGAGCGGGAATTGCAGCAACATGAAGAGCGAGATGGACGGGAAGATAATATCCGCTGTCAGAGGCCGGGACGATGTCGCAGCGACTGTGGCGAAGGACGAGAATGCGACAAGAAGAGGAATTCCACTCCACATGGTCATGCTGGCAGCCTGCACGACCCCGATCTTACGAAGCATCCGGAGCTCTTTATCATTCCTCACAGACAAGATCTTGCGCATGAAGGCCGATTCCCAAGCGTAAAGCTTGATCGACTTGATGTTGGCCAGAGTCTCACTCATCAGACGCGTCCGTTCATCCCGATTCTTCATTTGTTGCTCCTGCATCCGTTTTTGGATCCGGGCAATCACTGATGTTAAGTCAGATTCAATTCTTCGCGCGCATGCATTTCGACTTACGCGTGCTGAGCGGGATCGAAGCGATCATCACGCCAACGCCGACAAAACAGGCCCAGCCAAGAATGTTGTATAGAGAAATGAACGCGAGAGTGATCTGAGCAATATTAAGATCGGCAAGGAGGCGAAGAGCGGGGAACGAGGGTCACCTGCAGTGGCCCTGAGAGCGCGATGATTCCGTATGTGCAGAGATCCTGCATGCGGATAGCATCAACAGACATGAGATTGACGATGTCTCCAGTAGTGCGGCCCCGCTCATCGTTGGATAGGACGAGAGCTTTGGAGAAAATGGCGGTCACGAGACCAGCACGAATGCGCATCCTGATCACAAGCTCAGTACACGGCACCCAAATCGGTGATCGACGAACCCCGTCTCATAGGCACGTTCAAAGTACTGGTTCAACAAGATCGTCTGAACCACTGAAGCGATGAACATCAACACGCAAATCGAAAAGCCTTCCGCGGCGCTCGGTTGCGGACCCGCGTCTTGATATCGAGAAATGAATGCGAGCAGCAAGCGAAGAAGCTGGGGCTGCAGGAAAGCTAGTGCGTCCTAATCGGAAAGTCAGGAACGAGTCCAACCAGTGCGCTACATGTCACGTACTTGAATGACTTTTAGCACGACAGCGGCCACGTACGGGCCGCCGTAAGCACGGAACAGGGAGCTCCAGACACCATACTTGTGGAGGTAACCCTCGAGGAGGTTCCCCAGGTGCTCAGACTCGTCCGAGGGAACCAAAGACGGCAGATCTTCTTCGGTGATTGGACGAGTCGCACCTTTGGCCATCAGGCTGGTCATCCACGAGAATGTCTTGCACAGTTATCAGAATGCGAAATGCCGAACACGGAAGATGGAATAGAACCCACCCAGACACTATATACATTCGCAGTCAAGATGGGATGCTCGTATCGCGTGTTCTCATCCTCCGGTAAACCCGTCTCGGGTCCGATGCACTCCAAAGTGAATGCTCCCAGGACGGCGACAGCGACAGAGCCTTTTAGTAAGAGCAGTGTCCGATAACGGGCAAAGTCGGTGTTGATGACTGATCGCACCCAGACGGCGAGCACAATGAGGTAAACAGGCCAAAAGATAAGAAGGACGGTCGAGCTTTTGCGATTGCGCGTGTGGTTGAAATATGTTAACGCGACGGCGCTGAGGAAAGCGACGGGTTCGAGGATAAAGACTTCAAGAACTCCAGTAGGTTTGTTTCGTGAGATCACGTATGCTGCAACGCTGCATCCGATGGCGGCTGTCAGCAGAGTCTGGTGGTTGAGATGTCAGCGTCAGTTCACGGTCGTGCGCTACCAGCTGTACGCACAATTTTGCCAGCCAGAATGCCCCGGCTT